TTGAGGACATTTGGAGACCATTGTCTTGAGGGGAGATAAAATGCGAATGCGAATAAAGGACGACTTTCATCCACGAGCAATGAAGAATGTCAAAATCTTTTAGCTCAAGTACACACAATAAACTGCGTCTCGTTGGATTAGTCGCAAACTAAGAGACGCAGTAATCGTAATCTTAGTCCTGTCTGTGAAATATCCACATATTGAACTTGGACATGGTCGTCCTCGAGTTGTCTTAACTGATTGTGAATGAGTCGATGAATTGCAGCAGGAAGACTGCTTTTCTCATCGCTGGGCACGGTCGTGCTTAAGTGGTCAGCTCGTTGCTTTTCCCATCATCCTTCCATCCGGCTGTTCTTTTATGCTGTCCGTGATACTTTGCATTTGCCACATGACTGAGCACCATTGTTTAATCCTTCCTGCCGCTGGAATGAAAGCAATTTAATTCCCATGATCATGATCCAATTTTGGAGAATATCACTAGGCGAATTTCGTGAATAGTGGAAAATTCACCATTAACCCACTTCCTAGCTTAACGGATGCATATTTTAAAGTACTAGGCTTAAGGATTATACAAATTTCACATAATGAGGCTATGACGGTGAAAGTAATTAGAAAGTGGGCAAATTTTACTGGATGAGGAAAGATAAAAACTGTATATGTTTGCATTGCATGAAAAGAGGAAACTGAAAGCGGCAGAGCGATGTATGTAAGAACAATGATGCAAATATTTGCCACTGTCAATCAAATTTTTTATATAGATTTTTGTGCATAAAATGTGGAGATCATGTCGCACAACATAGCATTCCATCGTGGAGACAAACAGTTTCGCCGGAGAGAAGAAATAAGGCAGCCAACCACCTTTGCTCAACGAACAAGAAGGAAATATTTTCTGACAAGGACGGTGGTTACATTTGTTTTCCATTTTCATAATAATCCTTTTTAAAGTGCAGGGATGTAAATGATGCAGCGTGATGGATTACCAGAGTATCAGTTGAGACAGCTGAAGAAGATAGAATGATTATTAATGACTCAAGATATTGATAGCACAGCAAGACAGGGATTCAATAATAAAGGGTGTGCATTTAATTCGATCTCATTTTCCCTGAAAATATTTGAAAGGTTCTTAATAAAAAATGGTGATAATTGCGGATTCAATTTTTTATCAGACGTATCTTCAGATTAGTAGTTGCCAGTTCGACCATTCGCTTAAATCATGTCCTCGTATTTGCTTTAGACTAGGTGATAATTTTTTACGTAGTCGGTTGCATTCACATTTTGTGGCTTGGCTTTTGCAAAATATTTAGAGGTTTCATGCCATGCGCTCAAAACATTCGCCTACCACAACGAAAACTCATTGATGACAGGTCCGATTTTTTGCGGTTCTGTATCTTCAGGTTTGGTGTATTCTAGTCAATACGAGTCAATTTGAGATTCATCAGTCCACGTGTGCCGATGTGCCGATGCAATTCTTCACCATTTCCAATTACCTTTTCTGTTAAATTCCAATTTTGCTAATTTTTTTTTCACTTTGAATTTCTGCTCATCCAAGTTTTGCATCTGAATTCCAAGAAATTCATGATTAGCATCTTTCTTCGGCCTACCGATCGTATAAATTTCAGACCAAAACATTCACTGATTCAAAAGTTACGGCTGAATTTGTCTCGTGTTCTCATGCAAAACTCGATCAGATCAAATTAAATGCACACACTTTAGCATGTGCATCGTGCGTGTCTCAGTCACTCAATAGAATTCAAATACGAAATTACAGGAACTTGAAATATGTACTTCTCGCTATACACTGTGGGAAAATAAGGTTTAGTTAATTTGCATGGAAGGATAAATGATCCTTACGACGAGCAAATCATTTACGTAATGGGCAAAGTTTGAAGAACAATGTATCTCCATTAATACTATTGTACACTGAATTATAAATTCAATTAAACCGAGGAATCATGAATATACAAAAGAAAACTTGTATATTTCTACTTCCGAGGAGAATTTGCTCATATTTAATGCAACTCATAATTTCCTGTACTTACGAAAGATTAGGGATCGTCATAAAAGATTAGATTTAAAAAAAGAGTAGAATCAGCAAAAAAAAAGTCCGGGAGAGGAAACTGTGATGATTTTTACGTGTTACCCCGTCGTGCAGAACGGTTTAACAAGCATGACGAAGGTTTTGGTGCTAATGGCAATACTAGCCTCGATCGTACGTATATGATCGGTCCAGCCAAGGGAGAAAGTATTAATAATGGGCTTTTCAATGAAGACCGGCACAGACTCTTTTCTCAGCCAGACGGACAAACCGACTACTCCTACGAGCGATCAGTAAGGCCAGAAGATCAGCAATAGAGGAATGTCTGCTTGGGGGGAAAGGAATCTGAATCTCCTTCTTATTCTTCTTACATCCATATTGTAAATTCTTGCGTCTTGCAAAAATCAGAACGGATTTAGCCCAGATTCGTTGTCCAAACATTGTTGAGACAGATCGCAGAGTTAGTCGGACTAAAGTAGTCACCACATCGCCGGTCTTCTTGTTAAGTGCTCTGCCTGTTTTCTTCTCTCTCTCTTCGCAGGCTTCCCTAAATCCACTTTTTCTCTACGGCTTTCTTCATTACTTCTACTTACTTTGTAGTAAAAAGGCAAAATTGCTTTCTTTCGCTACCTTCTTGAATAACTTTGCTCGTTCTCACTTTCTGAGGTTGTAAACCGAATCAGCTTCTGCAATGGGGCGTTTACAAATGGTGGATTTAAGCCCGTGCTAAACTTTTCTTCACTTATTGCAGTTGTGATAATCTGGGTAGTAAGTGGGGAAGATTTAAATTTATTATGTTCCACGACATGATCTAATATTCTCATAAATAACGTTGCGCCTATGGTAAAAAAATCTCCGAACTTTGTCAAAACGGAAGTCTCAGATTGTGTAGATCGCACTTTTGGCCAGGTTGTGTGCTGCCTTGCCTATGCACAGTTTGTTGGAATGTAGAAACATTTTTTCTCGGATTCCGCAAATGTAATCTTGGGCATTACAAGCCTCAGAGAGGGAGAGGAGGGAGTGAGGTGGTTAGTTTAGTTTGGTTGCCTCCGGTTTCCTTTCCCTTGCTTACGAGATGTTTCATATCTTCTTGCCAAGTACAAATAACTGCTAATGGACTCCGTTTCCAGTCTATGAGGTTTGGTTGTTGGTTACTTGCTGATAGCCGGATCCTTCGTCTTCTTCCTTTGGAACATCTCTCAGCACACGCACTGCTAAAATAAGTAACTCAACTCGACCCATTCGTAAAATGCGATTGAATAAACCCAGTGGCCCGTCTGTACAAATATTATTGAGGAAATATTGTACGCATTTCCGAGAAAGTATGTATTTGTGATGACATTCATCCAATTTTCTTCCTGATCATTATTTTATCTGGCGATTGATAAGAATCCATACTTTAAATCAGATCAAAATTGCCCGTACTCAAGAAACTTTGCTTGCAAATCTTGTCCTGTTTGTGATACGTATGAATATTACATGTCAAATACTTATGGTACTGATTGCGCGTAAATATTTGGTCAATCAGACCATAAAAAATGGTCATTCCAAATGGCAGAGTTTATTTCAAACTTTTAATTGAATTGAGGAGTCAACATCCTAAGGTACAGAGCTATCTCTTCTTTGCGGAAATTGCTTGATATCCGTTCTCAAACGTGTAACGCATTTGTAATGACTCTGGAGATTAATGAAGAAAAGCATCCGCTGTGTTTGGGAAGAATCTCTTCTGGTTTCTTGCTGCGGAGATAGTTAGCAGAATCCGTATAACAGCAGTGGTGCTGGTTCCATGTTCAACTCTCTGAATGGTAATTTTTTTTGAAACTTACAAACTTATAATGATCCAGGCATTAATACACATTACTCATGTCATAGTAAGTTAAGAAGGGGAAGAAAAAAAAAGTTTAGACACATTCAAAAGTAGGTTTCATTGTTGAGAGCCGTACAGTTACATAAAGTTCTGCTGATCCTGCGAGTGAGGATGACAAACTATTTCACGAATGTGTAAAAAGAGGCTATTTAGCAGGATTCATTTCTTTTCTAAAGAGTCCTCGCCGTCGGGTTGTTAAGATTTCACCGCAAACACACCTCTGCCAATAAGAAGACTTGTTCACAGGTCGATATATTCAATTTCTGACTCTTGGCTTCATACCTCTTGAATAAAAAGTCTCACAAGACATGATATTTTCTCTTTGACAACTTTTTTGTGAATTGTGCTCTCGAAAGTCATACCACGAGCATAGACGTACCAACCACACACTCGTATGTACGAAGCCACTCTAAAAGTATTAAAAATGGTTATGAAAGTTGAAAATTGAGAAAAATTCATTCTTGCATTTTCTTTCCTCTTTCTAAAGAAAGTTTAAGATGAGAAAGTGAGAAATATTTTTGTGGAATCTCATTGGACTGAGGAGAGAAAGTACATCTCTCGTATTACTATTTACTACGGTGCGTCTTATGGTTTTAATGCTGGATTGGATATGTTGAGTGGTGTGTTATGGACTTGTTGGTTGGTTGAGGTGGAAGAATAATACCGGCACATTTTAAGAATTTATTATTCACTCCTGCTTCATATTCACAGTCACGTCGGGTAAAAGGAAGGAAAGCGGTGTTTTCTCGAAACTTTCACCAAGACAGCTACACAACTGCGAGTCGGATGTGTAGGCGAGGCAGTAACTACTATGACCAAGATTATAGTACTATTTGGCTGCAGTGGTGCATGTTACATATGAGCAGTGTCACGAATCGTAACGATGTTTGGTAAATGCAATTATGAGATACTCGTCAGAAAATTGAGATGACAATTCCTGAAACTTATCATTGTTAAACATGTCATAAGACACGTCAGATGTAAAGTGTTTACATTTGCGACATAATGTATTCATTTTGAATTAAATAATGTATTCTTGTCAACCATCATGTCAAATAATGTTTTAACAAAAGCATATTTGTTGCTTTTTTTATGCAGATTTAACACGAGAGTTGCAGCAGAAAAGGGGCTTGAGCTCGTGTCGCACAATTACCACAGTACTGACACATTTAACTTATTGGCCCATAATCACCTGCAAGAAATTGTCACCCATTTCCGGCGTCACTTCCCAAGCTATTAATGACTCCAAGTTGGACGATGGGTGGATCAAGACTTATTTTTGTTGTGGGGTCACCGGCGACGAACGACCAACCTCTGAAATAATCAAGTCGATAAGTTGTGTCTGTCCATGCGAGGAAAAAAGGAGTACAACAGAAATAGTAGTCCAATCAACTTGTAAAGTGACCACTAGATCAAAAAAATATGAACTTTGTGAGAGAAACGTCCTTCCATCAAGACGCGGACGACCCCAAGAAAAGAATTAAAGTGAGTTTTCTTCAATTGCTTTTATTATGCAAAGCTTGGTGTATTTCAATAACAATTGGCAATTTTAATGTTGAGTTTTTGTTCAAACTGGTTCGACTTTTAACCCATGCAACAGAAACTAAGTAGTTTAGAATCACTAATTTGGAACCACTAAAATTATATAAAGTAAGAAGATCAAAACATATCATGTAACTCGTCATAAAATTTTGTGTACAAAAAATTTACTGATTCTGTCATGAAGATATGCTTGTACTTGTTAAATTACAAAGATAAAGAAGTACGCACAACTTGTGAAAAGGCAAAACCTGTCAGAAGCAACACCAGCCATTTAGCTGCCCCGAGAGTCACCCCGGAATTAGTATTTGGATTTCGAGGCGTTGTTCTCGGAGTTGTTGTCGTTGTTGTTGTTGTGGTGGTGGTGGATAATTGCAGAAGCATTGGCGACACAGATTTGAAAGCGTTGACTCGGCCATGTCCAAAAAACGGGTTTGGAAACTGATTATCTGGGATTCCTCCACAAGCAATATTTTGTGATTGCAAAATGGTGGTATCCACTCCATTTTCCAACCAATATTTTACTTCCTCATACGACAAATTGATATTGATCGACTTCATAATCGCGATGACTCCAACTATGTGAGGGGTGGCCTGTAGTATTTTAAAATGCATTGTATAATTATTTATTCAACTGGTCGGAACCACAACTTAAAATGAGACTTACCATACTAGTTCCTCTGTATAGGCCGTACGAAGTATCGGACACATTTGTGGAGGACAAGACAAGGTCCCCAGGACCAGAAATGTCCGGCTTCATCCCTCCATCAATAGCAGGTCCACGACCACTGAAGGACGCAATGGTATCAGTGGACGTAGTTGCGCCCACCGAAATGACATTTCGATCGCTAGGTGAGCTTACAGTGCTGCAGAGGGGCCCATAATTACCGGCAGCGAAGACCGGAATGATTCCAACCTCGTGCCACGCGTTGATAACGACATCATACCAAGACACATTCTGACCACCGCCCCAACTGTTGTTAACAACATGGGGGGCTAGGGTACAGTTCTTTGCCGACATGTCTGGAAGGGTGGGGCAGGTGATGTACTGGCCACAGAGAAGAAGCGCAGTTACTGCACAGGTCGACGTATCACATCCTTTGCATCCCATCCATTTTGCGAATGGAGCGACTCCGATCCCTTTACTTCCCAGGATTGTCCCTGTAACGTGCGTGCCATGACCGTTCCCGTCGTCTGGAGAGTCGGTCAAACCGTAAGGGTCAAACCACCCATAAGTCCCGTAGTACTTGTCTTCTATGGCTTCGTGAGTTAAGCGAATCCCAGTGTCGATTATGCCAACTCGAACTTCGTCATGGGTCAAGCCGGAGGAGTTGATGAGAAAGCGAGCTTCGTTCGCTCGGATGATTTGGATTCCCCATTCGACCACGCTCTCATCTCGTCTCGTTTCGATGCGGTCGGTCGGTTGGTCGGCTACTAATTCTTGAGGTACTGGAATTAGGAGGTCTTCCTCGATTGCTATGATGTCCTCAAATTTCGACAATTCTTCCAGCAATTGAAGGTCAACGTTTTTAACGGAAATTTGGTTAGTTATCCAGATTGGAATGAATGCAATGTTATTCGACGTGAGGTAATCGTGTATAATTTGTTGCGAGGTTTTTGTATTTTGCTCAAGATTTGCGACCAGTTGGTTGATTTTGTCTCCTCTGGTGGCAAAACTTTGTTGCGAAATTGACTTGATGACGATGTTGGGACTTGGATTGAAACTAAGGATCACGTCATTTGATGTAGAAGCTTTGAAGTGTATTTTTTCTGTAGGTGTTTCTACTAATCCTAAGGCTATTGGCGTTACCACGGATAGAAGCAAGACCTTCGCTATGGTTGGAAACATTGTGCACGCTAAAAGTAGAGTCAGTAGGACAGAATCGACAAAAGTACAGACCGTTCTCGCCGTATCCTTGTGACACACTGAGATATTCCGATGGACACGAGTTTGAGATAATTCATTAAGGTTATACAGTTTTACTTAATTGACCATGGTCTTCTTTTGCGCATAATAAATTAATATGTACATACGAATGTAAATACTTAGCGATGATGGGAGTAAAAACCCGTAATAAAATGCAAAATCCTGTTCGACATTTCAAAACATGAATATAAATATTGCGTCAGCCCTGAGACAAGTGTTTGGTCAAATCTGTTAAGCCAAACCGTATCAACCATTGTAAGATGATCGGTATTGTAAAAAACGTCATATTCTCTCCAGTATCGGATAAGCCCAGGGCTCACACGCATATCACAAACTTTGATGATCCAATTCCTCGCACGTTTACCCAGCCAAGTTTATTACCGTGTGGTGTGCAATACGAGTCTGGTTTGACGCACCTCATGCTAACTGAATTCCGATTCTCAATAAAGTAAAAAAAATCGGAATAATGTTGGGATTTTCAATGCTCAATGTAATAAAACTTAACAACAATTAGTCCCATTGTCCAAACTGATATATTTTCTATGGACATAAAGTTATCACTTCATGCCCACAAGATTAACTGTACATACGTAGCGTCGAATGTTGAAAGTTTGCAACCAAAAATGTATGTACACATATTAAGTTGAGGAATTTACAATAAGTTGTCCATTTATGGAGTCCTTACTTATTAGGACGGTTAGAAAGGAAATCGAGTGCAAAGGCGGTTTGGTTATTTGATTAGTTTGATCTAGATAGAGGAGGAGAGGATAGCGTATGAAAATTCTGCGAAATTTATTGATGTCCGTGTTCTGCACAACTTTCCTCTCTCATCCAATTTCCTCATGAAGGAAACAACATTCGTCTCTTGTGCAGAGTCAAATAATAAAATGCTCTTTATAGTCCGTTCACCAGCATTACTCAACCCGCGGCTGAAGAAGAAGAAGAAGAGAAACCAAGTGAATGCCTCCAACGACGGGGCGCAGCTTCTGAGCTTCTTCTTCTTCCTACATGGAATAGCCATCCGTATGGAATGATGGATACCCAGTTTTATTTCCACGGGTCTGATCCCCAGGGAAGAAAAGACCCAAAAGAGGTGCACTTGGCACTAGTAAGACACCGAGCAGGGAAGAGGCATTGGTGGTGGTGGGCCGCCGGCAGCGGTGGTGTGGATTAACATAGGTGAGATAGGCTAGTGGCTAGTCGTGTATATATACAAGATCGCTCATATATGTTCTTCCTACAAAGTGTACCTTGGGCGAAAGAGAAGGAAAGTTATACATAAAGTGAACGAGTTATGTACTGTGCGGGTGGAGCTTAAACCTACGGCCTCCTGAAGTACCTTGTGCTGAGACTAGGGTTTCTCGTGAGTTTAGCTCCATTCGCACAGCACATAACTAACTCACTTCAAGTATAGTTATTTAAGCTGGCTAGCTCTTGGGGGAGTCATGTCATAGAAAGATTGCATACGCCACGGCTAACTAGAATGCCAATAAGTTTTCATATGCTGCGAATTTGTGCAAATAGAATTCTTGTTTGGAAGAATGAATCATTATTGGATTCCTTTACCTAGGCTAAAAAAATATGTGCTGCGAAACTTTCATTTGTACACTGCCAAGTGCAGAAGGAAGTAAAGCATGCATCAATGAAAGGCTGCTTTAAAATCCAAACTCCATTCTTTTGCCAACTTTTCCAAAGTTGTGTCATTTGTCAAAGTGCATTTGCCAAAGTGCTGAGGCCCCTGTAACGTGTAATACTGGGCTGGTACATACATAAGAGTTGTGCAGTCGGATGATAGTCCTACCATCGCTGCAAGATAAATAGAGGACTTTACTACCGCGCCATATCAATTGGGGGGTCGGTTTGTAGTGTCGAGAAGCCTCATTTAATTTCTAACCGTTGCTCCTCTGTCCCATTCCGACAACGTCGACGTTTGGGAGCGATTTAGATTATTTCCTCAATTTATTTTCCCTTTCAATCTGAGCAAATTGGACTCTGAATTTTAAATACAGATTTATTTCTCAATCGTGGTGGTAAGCAATACAACGACGATGTCGACAATTCCCTCAAGGTTTTTTCTCTCTGGTGCTGCTCCGCGTATGTAGTTTTGCGTGTGGGAGACGTCAACTCTTATTATGATCCCCAAAGAAAGAAGAGGGGATCAAAAGTGTGCCAGTAATAATGGTTCTATTGGAAATAGGCAATGAAAATAACACACTTCATTCCTGGCAATGAAATGAAGTAGGTTATTGCTTGGATGACTCGATCAAAATCAAATTGTTCGAATGGCTTTCTCCCCGTTCTTCAAGTTCTGATTTGTTGGGGAAGATACGGAAAATAGAAAATGAAATATTTTCGGGTTTACTTTATTTTACGGTCCTTGCGAAACTGGAAAACGAACCACACAGTTGGCAAACACATTGCACTTCCGTATTCTTTGCTCACATCCTTTTGTTCCAGGCTTCTCGATGTAATATAATTTCTATTTCTGAACTTTCGAAAAAGTGTTGAGATTCGTTTAGTTGTCACCAACCATATTGGACACAGCTCATCATTTTCGTTTTCAAAAGAAAAAAAACCGTTTCATTCTGAAATGATAAATGGTTTATACAGTTTGGGGAATAAAGGAACACTTTAGATAATCATGAAGCTTTTGCTGCTGCTGCTTCTTGCTGAACTTGGTTATACTTGCTTGTACAACTTCCATCTTGCAACTGTCACTCAAATCCCAGAACAAAATGGAGAGTTCGAAGTTGATGCATTAAAATTTCAACTCACTTCATTGACGAGCTACATAAAATGGATGCATTTTTTAGTGATGTGTTTTGTTGAAATTTTCAAAACACAAAGTATCTAGAATTCTTTTTTATTTATTTATTTCAGAGTCACAGCATTTCCGGAATGATGGACGAGTACACATCCCGACCGCATCAGCAGATGAGACAACTGTCTCTGGATGAGAAGAAGTTTCTGCTCGCCGTGGAACGTGGAGATATTGCGACGAGTCGTCGGTAAGATTTTTGGAAAAATTAGCGTCCTTCAGAAACAATGGATTTAGTTTAGGAAATATATGCAAGTTATTTAATGTTAACTGCGAGTCTGACCGGTCGGATCAGTGAGAGTGGTCCTGAATTGATTAAATTCACATATGTATATGAACAAGAATCCATGGCTGAATTTCAATTATTGAAAGACTTACAACGGTTTTTTATCCAGATAAATTTTTCCAATAAAAGATTCCCAGATATTGTTATTATTTATGATGACATACGTTAGCATGCCCAGTTGGAATTTGACAAAAAAGGAACGACGACTTCTTCTCAATAGTGCATTTAGCCGTCCAGTTTTTACATATTTTTGTGCAGATATGCAAAAATCTTTGGGTTGAGATTTTACCTTGAGAGGAAAATCGAATTGATTGAACACAAGTCGTTTTTTCCTGTTAATTTCTTATTCAGAAACACGTGTGCTGACAAGATCTACTTTCATCCGATGAACCGCAGGTTGAACTCGTGAATAAGCGAATAAGAAGGAAGTTATCACAATTGAATGGGATGACAATGGATAAATATGTGATGTGATGGAGAACCGGTGGTGGTGGAAGCCTCATTTATTGATGAGACTGAATCCATTAAGAGGATACTGTTGACAGATCTGACTTATCTTGGATGAAAGAGAGAGAGGGAGAGGAAATTCCTTTCAACCATCGCTTTTGTGTCCCAATCCGACATCCCACCCATCATTCCTGTCACTTATCCAATTTCTTATAAATGCAGAGGTCGGCCAGCTCTCCTTCCTCCATTTCCCCAACATTAGCTTAGCCTCAAGAGCTGGCACTTCCTTACTTTTCTTGTACATGCATGTAAGATTCAAGCTTGGTGGTGGTGAAGGAGGTAATTTTCATAAACTCCTTCCCAACTTTCCCAAGGGCTGGGGGAGAAGAGAAAGCTAATTTACTCTGCTTGCCACAACCACCAACGAGCAAAACTATGTTTAATATGGAGAAAGAAGACGGAGAGGAGGAGGACAAGCTGTTTCTTCTATTAGGGAGACCCTCCCACTTGATTTTTCTGCAGGAACCATGCAAAAAGTCAGTGTCATTTGAGAACCAACCACCCATTACGACTGACAGAAGAAATTGGATTATTTTCTCTCATTAAAAACTTCACAACAATTCTTTCCATAGTTAATGACTCCTTACTCCTGATAATTTACTGCTTAATGAGGGGGTTAGGTTTGCGAATGAGTGAGTGGGCGGCCTTGTCCTTGTCAGAAAAAGAGCATTTTTGCCGAGATAATGTAACCGCTTGGCAAATGGTGTATTTTTTGGTTGGGATGAGAAATTGAGATGATATGGCATGCAAAAAAAGATAAATTACTCGTCCTTATTAGACTTTGTAGGATACACATGCAATGCAGATTAGTAATTTACTTGAGCTGCGATATATATATCAACAAAAAATACGTGTAATCTTACGCAAATAAAAATCTGGAAAATAAAATGGACGGTAAATTAGAGTATGATTGCATAATTGGACTGTGCATAACTTTACTTTGATGCCAAATTTTAAAGCTGTAACCAGTTTTAAAATCTTAAAGCTAAGCTTCTTATCGTCCGTTCAAATATACTGATAAGTTGTTTGTTGAAGGAATATTTGCACTCATGATTACTTCACAGTTGGATTTATTAATAAAGTTCAAAAACCTTTTGAAGAATTCCACATCTGTTCTGTTACACGGACTCGCTCTTTCTTTTGAAAACATTATTGGAGGAAGATCACCTAGTTTATACGGCATAATTAACTTTTACCTCATTTCTCAAAGTTTGAGCTATGGAATTATGCATTCAAAGAGGAACAAACATTCAGAAAGGGTGTGTTTGCCTTCTCCTTGGCACTGACTTTCACTGCCTGTTGTGCACAGAATAATTGGACTTGGGTGACGTATTTCAGAGATGACGACGACACCACAGAAGTGCTCCTACATAGTCGCGGATACAGTCCACTTGTACAATTTGATGGATTACGGTGCTACCCGTTTACATCCTCGCTTGATTCCAAATGCTGGAATGCATTGAATCCAAATGGTTTTAGTGTGCTACCCATTAGTTTTTATTGCTTACAGTTCTCAAAGGAGCACTTTCTATACGAGATGCATTATGACTTTAAAATTGTATGATGATTTCGCTCGAAACGTGGCATGGCACATCTCAATTGAATTGAACAGATGCGTACTATCATTCACTTCACAAGTCTGCTGCAAAAAAAGTAGAACTTTGCACTGCAAACTTAATGACCCAGTTGACAGACGGGTTAAGACGAGTGGAGGAAAAATGAGGGACTAAGAGGGCAACCAACCAAACCATTCTTTCATTCAATGATTTTTCATGGACACATCTTTTGTATCACCTTTATCTCTTTCTACTACTTAATTTGTTCACCCTTTTAGTCATGGTACGTCAACCTGGGCACAAGGGCCCAACATATCCTGATGATGATGATGATGATGATGATTACGCAAGAAAAATGTCAGTTTTTAGGAAATGTGTATGAAGAATAGGACACGGTTCTCAGGCTTGGAAAAATTTTGATAAATCTTATTGCAGAATTTTCTAACTTGATTTAATACATTTCCGAGATGAGGGAAAACATTTAGAATTTATGTGCCTGGGAAAACTGAACAATACGCCACATTTATCAACGCACAGTAAAAAAAAGCAATACAGCCCAGGATCAAGTGGAGGCGTAGTACCGCAATAAAAACGCTGGATGTGACTATTATTACTCGGAAAGGTCCAAATATTGAACAAATGTGTCCAATTTTCTCACCACATGGAATTTCAATGTCCTCACTCACAAGTAATGTATCCACCTTGTGGATAATTGAAAGTCTAGGCCGGCATAAGAACTGGGGAGGAAAGGACAGGGTAAGAAAAGTCACATTTTTTGCAACAAGAAGTGATAGAAATTCATGAACCAAGTGTTATTGCCCTTGAGAGACTGAATAAGCAATGAATATCACTAAAGACCAATCCAGGAGGCAATGCTGCTCTTGCGAGTTGAACGTTGTTGAATACTACATAAAATGAAATTGGCTCCTCGTGCAATACAGAACTGCTGTGGGATGGGCCGTCATATTTAAGCTTATATATAGCATGTGATCCCCTGCCTGGTTTTCCCTTTCGACAACATGTCGTAGTCCGTATGGTGGAGGCGGCGTCGTCATCGGAATATGATTAGGAAACTGTTTTGAACTCAGTCTCATTCTGCTCTGTCCTAAGAATGATTGGTTTCGAGCAAGGGACTTGGAAAGAACAATGAGCACGACGTTTTATGAATATTTTCAATCATTAGAGCAGCAGCAAAAGTGGGAGAGTAAGTATTTTAAAGCTGCTGAAAAAAAAAACGACCGAGATATTTTTCCCTCATGTCACGCAGCGGAATTCACTCATATCTCTTATTATGCATCATGTCGTTTCACCAATAATAAAAACGCTTTAATCTACATAACGTCTCCCCTCGTCTCCACTTTTATTTTTTTGCTCTCCATCCAAGTTACATAAGAGATCATCTTTTCAATATTCGCATGAGCTGGTCGCAACTCGAGAATAAGATATCTCTCAATTTTGCCTCTTCTTCTGTTCCTTTCCTTACTTACCGCCGCGATCATTCGCTGAACCCACCCAAGCAAAAAAAACAATTGTGAATTCACACGAAAAAAATGAATCAAGTCGAAAGGTTGAGACACTGCGGAGTGTGGTATGGTTATCGGTTATATAGTTGGTTGAGTTAGTGGCAAGGTGAGATGAGAACAAGGCCAGATGTTCACTTCTTCTCTAGAGCAAGACCACCTCAACTTAAAGCTTTGCCCGAAAGGATTATATGCAAAATGGTCCAAGTTGATTTCCTCTTTTGTCGGTAGTACAGCGTGATTACGGCGGTGACACCAAATCTTTTTTTTCTACTTATCTTCCCAGGCTTCCTTGTCCCATTTTCTGTCAACGCCATCACTGGACCCCAAACCAAGGTAGAGTGGAAGAGTAGAATCAAAACTAAGCCATCTTGAGCCTCTCGACGTCAGCCACAAGTCTAAAACGCCACTTAAGAACTCTATAGAACCACATGCTAAAAAACCGTCGAGTTAGTTTGCCGTATTTCAGGAGGAAAACTTTGTTTATTCATAAACCATTCAGTTTCCTCCTTTACTAAGCACAATTGAGCCTTGACCAGCTTGAGGGTTGTACTCTTGCATGTGTACACAGTTTTGTAGAGTGATTAAAAAAATTAATTACATTTTGTTCTTGACTCTAGTATTTGCTCTCTGGTCGTATAATGCCATCCCAAATTGTAACTTTCTCCCAAATTAATTGCTAAACTCAATTATTTTCACCGGAGGTAATGTGGACATGGAGGAGGGAAAAGCAGGCAATTTTATGAAGAGCAAACATATTCCTTCATGATGAGTATGTATGAATGTATGAGGACATCGGGGAAAAAACGCCCGGAGACAATGGGTTGCCTTCAGTGGTGGTTGAATGGATTGAGAGATAATCTACTTTGGTGAGCAACGAGGCGGTGGAAAGAGTGAGTGAGCCGACAGGTGGGTTCCATAGCCAACCATCCAACTTTCTCCTCCAATTTGAATAAAAAAGGTAGCCATCCGACCAAACCGGTGGTGGTGCTGGTCTACCAGAACCAGTACCAGCAGCCGTGGCAGAAGTTGCTCATGCACCACATGGTTAGGTAGCATTTTGGGTCTGGAGAAAAGTTCTGCCTGGCTGGTTGAAATTTTGAGGTGGTGGTGAATACAGCGACTGGAGGATCGTCATCAAGTCTCGGTGGAGGAAAAGTGGGTGATGATGCGACTAATTCGATTTCTTTCTAATAACTTTCTCCATATTCCATGAATACGTCCAACGTGCTTGTTTCGCCTGGTTGAACGTGTGCCAATTTGCAAGACACGCAATTGCTTTTAAATTTGAAAAGTAAGAATTTAATTAATATTAATGAGAGAAATGGCGAAGTGGCGTGTTTGGTGGGTTATTTTACATTGTATTCATTAGCGAATTGTTAACCATAGTTTTTGCAGACATCATGAAATAAATTCTCGATTGGATTCTTCACGGGATGCGAATATATATTTACTCTCTGTTGCACTCCATTGAGTAAGACTTGCAATCAGCATGAGAAATGTTAGATGAGCACAGCCATGCAATGGATAATGACCTCTTCTTCCTGGGTCGTATGATCCAAATATGATTATTGTTATTTGTACTGGGTCTCATTATCCATCACTGGACATGGAGCTTAAGAGTGCAATAAATGGCTGGACTTGGTCATATTTATCGAGCTTTCTCTACAACCAGCATGTGTCCCTCTCTGGCCTCTGCCACTCCTCTGCATCCAGTAGGACCCCTTTTTATTTCATTCTCTTGTTCTTCTCATCCCACGTCTATTGTGAGTGTGCTCTGCTGCGCTGCTGCTGCTTCTGCTGGCTCTAATACTTTTCTCATTCTCTTTGAGATTTACAATTTGAAAGCAGAGGAAAAATATGAGAAAAGAATCAGTTGGAAAAGGGGTAACTGCAGTCCATTAACAGAAAGATGCGCATTAATCATAAGTTTGTTGAACAAATGTGGAGGAGAAAATAACAGTGGTGGTGGTTTAGTAGCAGGGAATGAATGAAATGTACTTTTTTTTGTTAACACAGGATGTTGCAGAAAGCAGCAGAGACTATGCACGTTAATATAAATTGTGCTGATCCGCTCGGGAGGTCAGCCCTCTTGATGGCAATTGACAACGAGAACTTGGAAATGGTGGAGTTGCTGTTGGAATATCGGGTCGAGACGAAGGATGCGCTCCTCCACGCCATTTCCGAAGAGTATGTCGAAGCCGTGGAAGTAAGTGACCCCGCATGACTCCAAATAATAAACAGTATGCTCTCATTCTCGTCCCACATACGATGGTTATTAAGACAAAAATACCAACGTCTTGGTCCCATCATTATTTTTCCCTTTCTTCCTCCCTCGCTTGTATCCACCTGCTGAGACAAAGATGTTTTGTGGATGATGATGCCTATCGTACATGTTAAAAATTACTCATCCTTTTCACAGGTCTTATTGGAGCATGAAGACGCGGTTCACAAGCCTGGAGAGCCACACGTATGGATGACGATTTTATTGTCACTTTTTCCTCGTATTCCTATTCAGTGGAAACTTCTCATAAATCATGAGAAAATCCATAATTCTACTTTCTCTCTACTACTGCCGTTGGGTGGGCAAGCAAATCCAACATCCACTACCTCCAGCCACAACTAACCAGCCAATGCCAGGAACGTATGTTTCGCACATTGAAAACATAGGACCCACTTCGTTGGCGTAGTGGATGGCATAAAACTTATGAAAAGACATGAGAATGCAAAAGTCACCTTATATAAAACCCCTTCAGCCAAGTAAAAACTATAGGTTTAAGTTACATGGCTGCGGCAACTACAATGTAGGAATGAGCATTTTTTATTCTGATATCTTCCTGCGTCACAGCTCAAGAAAAAAAATCCCGGACCAAGGATGAATCTCAGTCCTTTCTGAGCCAAACCCCAACAGGTTTGAGTAAAATTTTGGTCGGTTTAGTTGCAAAAACATATTTGTGCACCGTATTCTCAAGAAGAAGAAAGTTATTTCTTAATCACGTGACTGAGCTGGAGTGATATGAATGAAATTTTGCGAGACTAGTTCAGCCTTTCAAGTATTCGTTTGTTGATATTGAATCACATGCACATTATTACAGTCAAACCTCATCCGTTTACAGTTTGGTCATGTAGACGTAAAAGTGTCACCCACATTCATTCATCCATCCACTCACAAATGTATTTATTGGTATTCTCTGGAACAGCCATTCTTCAACAATGGGAGCGTATGTATGGACGTAGGTAGGGCAGCACCAACCAACGTCAACTCACTTCTCACAACCCAGTCATCGTCATCGTTATCCATACACTTACTTATTTGATATTCCAATTGCCTGCCTGCCTGGGTTGGTGAATTGGAGGATGGATAGTTAGTCTTCCTTCTTGGGAAAAGTCAGCTCAAGTCACGTCGTTTTCATTGCCTCCAGTTACGGAGAAAGTGAACAAATGCAATCTCGGACGACTCACACTCGGATTCATTCAGCCATCCCACTCATTATTAAACTAACCGTGTCACCGCCACATGCTTCACCTAAATGAACTCAATCTTGTCAGTTTGATCTTGTCCTCCATGGTCTCTCTGAATGAGCAAAGATCAGTGTGCCGATGAGAACAAGGAGCTGAGCTGCTGAAGGTTAACTGGTAGATTTGTTTTATTAGCACACTACATAATCTTGCCGTCCTATTTTTATGCATAATATTCTTCTTATCACCTTTTCAACCTTGCCAAAAACTGATAAGATTCACACGCCAGCTTTAAACTTGATGGTACAGCCTTCATTCCACATAATAACGAATTCGTAGCCGGAAGCTATGGAATATGAGGAGAAGAAGTTGGTGGTACTAGTGGTAATTTGATTTCTCAACACAAGAAAACTCACCCCGAAGCGCATCATCTCTTCTACAATTGCGGAAACGAGAATTATTGGTTTTGCAGAAATAGAGAGAGAGAGAGTCTTGGATGAGCCTGTGTGTGAAACAAAAATCCTAAAACAAACCCCCACGGGCAGGGTGTTACATATACTGCACTGTATACTCCTCCGTAAGGATATGGGGATACAGGAGCATATTATTTATACAGAAAGCTTGGCAAGATTTAATCATCCGTTGAAGCAGGCAATATAAAGGGGTCGGTTTCTTCTTCTCTAGTAGCGGTGGCGGTTTGGTTGGATGGTACGTTGGTTTGTGGTCCAACTGGCGTTGGTTTGTGGGGAGAGAAAAATTCACCTGGTTTTCAACTTAATTTATCCACTTTGTCTCTGTCAAGCAGAGCTGGGAAGCTCTACCGCCCTCGACGGCCACTTTCACCTCCGACATCACCCCACTCATCTTGGCTGCTCATCGAGATAACTATGAAATCATCAAGCTACTTTTGGACCGAGGAGCCACACTTCCGATGCCACATGATATTAGGTGAGCCTCTTAATTACCGCTTTCGTCGAAAATGTCCTCGTAATTACGTGCTTGTTGGACCGTGTGACATCATATTGTGTTCCTTGTTCTCCGTCCCCTCTTCCTTCCTGGGTCATGAGGCAAGGAAATTCGTACGCCGAGGTGGAGGGCAGCCAAGCGAATGGAAAGAAAAGCTACGAGACAGCTACGAGAGAACTAATTACGACTTGTCCAATACCACGATGGTTTTCGTGGAGGTTTCTTTGTGTACTAAAGAACTAATTCGACCCATTCATCCCTTTTTTGCTCGTAATAACAGATAAGGGGAAAACAATAAACACACTTAAACAAGAAACAATTACTTCTAGGTAATTATTTCTTGGGTTGACTCAACATTGATGCACACACACACGTGTATATAAAACAACAGACATATCATATGTTTATTTTGTTCAATGTATATTTTCCATGCGAAAATTATACACATTGTCGTCAAATGACTGAATAGTTTGGTTTTTAGTACTACTTACTCCTGAACAATTTATAGTTTGAGAGTTATTTGCAATAAAAAACATTGGGTTTTTTATCAACCCTTTCACTTTGCACAAATTGAAGAGACGCGTAAGCAATGTTTGTTCTGGGAACACAAGTAAATAATACAAAAGACTGATTAATATTGACCTATCATAAATCATCAGTGAACGAGATGTGCAAGTGTTGTTGACTCTTCCAATTCTAGAAACGGAAATAAGCAATATAAACTTGCAAGTACTTTCACTTCATGTATGCACATACATTCATGTAGTAAATAATACTGCACTCAATTCAATCAAGTGTGCAAACTTTGCCCGGAATTCATAATTGTCTGTCGGACGACAAGTGAAAGTTTGAAGTCAATTTAATAGTAAATGGTCATTTTTCACGACGACTAGCCTATTCCATTATCAAAGTCACGACCTGCAAGCCAAAACTCAACCTGATGTGATACGTATGTACGCTTCATAAAAGTTATCTGGCCAGGTCATTAAGTTTATTTGTCTTGTGTGCTTGGCAATAAACAGGGACAACCCATTACTCGATTGCTGGATGTCAACATTCTCTTGTACAAAGTCATAATACTCCGTGAAATTGCTGCACACCTAAAACAATCCCTCAGTCTTTATTTATTTGTGAGCCCCTCCAGATCAAGTTTGGTCCAAATGATGGAAAAATAATTGAGTAATAACAAATAATATTTCAGTTAGGAATGCATTTTGGCCATGTTTCCAGTTTACTTTTTACAAGTATTGGCTCATGGATACACTTTTAATGTCAAGATGAGTACAAACAGAACTTAATTTGTCTTTTCCTTTCTCAGCTTTTGTTGGGATCATGTCACCCTAACAGGAAAATAATGGAGACAGAAGATGTTAGTTTTCTTCTCTCTCATCGAGTTCACCAAACAAACTCGCATTTAGTGACCTTTTCCTCCACTGATCCATTACACAAACGGGAAAGGAATACTGTCTCCTTTTTCCAAAACACATTTTCCAGATTGGAACAAGTTGATCTGATTTCATGCCTCGGTGTAATAGATTCCATGAAATTAATCTGTGTTTGAACTAATTCAGTTTTTCTTGCCGTAAGTAACTTGACAAATCTATGGATAATTTATTGTGAGAACCTTTCTTCTTTAGAATCTGTGTAGAAGAAAGAAGCGAAAGAAAGAACGGTAGCAGTCTGGCTGGTAGTTGTTGAATAATACAAATACAATTCAAAAACTTAAGTTCGGTCTGGTGAATCGCGTACAAGTTTCTCCTAGTCAACAGCAGTGACAATTGAATTAGCAAGGAAACACGAGCAGCGAAACTATTTGAACTCATTGGAGTGAAGAAAATCCAGCTTAATTTCTATTTCGGCTCTACTGCTCCTTGTTCTCGCTTTCCAAGAAGGCAAAAACAGTCAACAGATCAGAGTTTGTGGCGGACAATACATTTTTGAGAGAAACGAGATGAGAGTTTTTTGTGGTTTCCTTTCCTCTCTCTCCTCATCTAACAATGGAGGAAATGAGTACTTCTTCACCATTGTTTTCCAACTTGCTGCCACTTCCCGTTTTTGCCACATTTCCGCAAACTTTTCCCTCGTCTCATCTCCTCCAGTTCTACTACTCCCATACAAAATTAATTTCCAAGAGAATGAGGTTAACACTTACTTCGCCACTTGGATCTCTCAAAGATAAACTAATTGCGTCCAAAATTCGAGTAGCTGCTTTCTAATTTGTTGACATATTTAATCGTCATCTCGGTGAAGCAGCGAGCGGGGAGAAATGATAAAGTTAAAGCCAGTAAATAAAATAGCGTTTCAGCCGCACACGGCGTAAAGGACAGTAAAAACGGTTACTGCTATTGTTGCGTATTTTATTCGTTACATGCTCCCTCCACGTTGGCAAAAGTTACTTTTACTTTACATCAGGCAGCCAAAAACATTGTGGTACAATTCGTGCCAAATGAAAGTGGCCGAAAGTTTACAGCGCAAAAACAACGACGACGACGACTTGGTTTGTTGTTAGCAGCAGCACGGTGAATATGGGTCGAATAAAGAGATACACGTATCAGAATCTGCCACGTTATAGGAATGCACACGGAACAGTGGCAAAAGTGATGTTAGTGTGTGTGGAGTGGAGAGATTTTCCCATCTGCCTCGCTTTACTCTGAACCCCAGGAAAAACGAAGCTGTTTTGGTGAAATCTCTGAGTCGAGTCTCCGTTTCCGGTCCCAGTCCATGACTCATTTTCATCTATTGTCCCTCCTTCAAAAGCACAAAAAGATGCTGTTCAAACTCATTTCCTACACGATACACATTATGCGCTTCATACTTTCACCAATCGGGTCTGAACATTAACCGTGTGTATGTATTCATATGCAACGGAGAGAAAGTGAACAATTTACAGTGTGCAAATATTATACTTTCATTTATGTACACACATACTTCTTATCTGCAATCTTATTCCCATGTTGATATGAAGATGATGCTTTTATATGTTTAATGTGTTGTCAGTACAGATTATGCATCTTTGACCTCGCGTAAGGCGTCTAAATGTGTAAATTGTGTCCACATTCTTGCACAACGAAGGTTATCCTTCGAAAGTCCTTGTTCACCCTTCGCGTCTGATTTGCTTGTTGCAGATGTGGCTGCGATGACTGTGTTAACTCGAGACAGGAGGATTCCCTGCGACATTCGCGTTCTCGAATCAACTCCTACCGAGCCCTTGCCAGTCCGTCTCTCATCGCGCTGTCGTCCAAGGATCCCATCCTCACCGCCTTCGAGCTCTCCTGGGAACTCCGCCGCCTCTTCTTTGCGGAACACGAGTTCAAAACGGAGTACATGGTTAGTAACAATATCACATTTTTTGCGTGCTCGTTCTGAGAAAATTTGTGTTTTTTTCCAAATTTATTAACGTTATGAAACGAAATTACTGCAATAATCTGTTAATCATGTGTTAATGTGATGCCGAGTTGTTGATTTGCACGCTATGCAAACAACTGGATAATATTTAACAACAAACAGACAGGAAGTCGACCCTGTTTATCTAACCTTCTTACCCAACTTATTGAAAGAAAGAAAGAGCAAAGAGTCGCAGAGTTGAGCAACTGTTGTCTCTTTTTCTCAATTTATTTAAACATCTCATCCCTTCTTTTGGCAAGGAGCCATCAAAGCAAAGTCGCCACCACCTCGTGTTGAAATAGGATTAAAGATTTAAATCAATGTCCAGCACTTGGCTCACTCATTTCATGCGAATGGGAAGTGTGTAAACTGCAAAGTGGTTTCCATTCAGGCGATGATCATCAAATTCAACATATTGACTGAAAGAGACGGCGGAGTCACCGAAAATGTTGAAATTGAAGGAAATGTTTCGTCAAACTTGGTAATAGTTTGAGTGGGGAGGGGCAACTATTCCAATATTTACGTTGCACATATACTGGTGAGACAACATATGTACATATATTCTTGGAACCACTTTTTATTGCCGTACACACACATATCCACCACGACTGCATCATACATATGTCCATGTGCAAGTGTTGGAGAGGGAAAGCATATTCGTAATAAGGGTCGGTCCGCCGCTTTCGTCGTCGCCGTATAAAGTTGAGTAAGTGTCTGCTGGGGGAGGTACGAAAAATAAAAATCAATTGGTTGGTTGGTGTTAAGATCAAACCACGACACTCGAGCTTGGATTGGATTCAATGGTTCGTTCGACACTTCAAGTCCGTTTCCGAAATGCAAATCCTGAGCCACTTTCTCCATCCTTCACTTTCACCGCTAACCACTGCGCTTTCCCTTTTTCTGCTCCTACTTGACATTCTTTTCTTATAGCACAAACAGACAAGAGAGAGACGATAAAAGGATCTTACCTTCTTCTTCAACAGGCAGTGTAAACTCTGTTTGCTGACTTTCCGCTGGATAAGCTGGCTCAGTCTCCTTCTTTCATTATTTATCTGCACCATCATCTCATCTCATGAGCAAATAATATTTGGAATCTTTGCCTATCTATACCGACGGCGGAAATGGGATGCGATGATCCAGCATAATAATCTGTGGTTAGTGAATTGAATTAAATCAAACATGAAGAGTTGCATCCAGCTAAGGTTCACTGGATTTTGTTTACTTTGCCAGACATTTACCATCACTAACCTTTCTAACTTTGGGAATTTACATATGTATTTATACGGTTGCGGAATAATTGCGTGGATAATTCCATGTTAAATTCTTGCAATGAATAAATTAACATTTGCTTATTGCATTCTGTAGTAAAAGCTTTTTTTACTTAGCACCTCTCTCCAATTCCAATCTTTCTTTGCGAATATTAATTAAGAAAAGTCAGATAAAATAAGATTAAAGTAAAATGGAAGTCAATTTTCAGCCAAGGTTTTGATTTCGGTTTCTTTATTCGCTGTTAACTACATGAGCTTACCGAATTTTATCTCCCCATCACACAGAGTAATCGTATCACTGCTTTATCACATCACTATACGAACAACGTAAGCGAGGTGAGGAGTCAGAGTTCAATGCTGTTGGTTTAGCAAAGACAGCTCCGGAGGGTAGAGATTTGCCAGGAAGGGCTCAAATCGGCCGAGGAAGATGTGTTTACTGGTCATAAAACAAAATGAAATTAGCCCGTAAACAAGGTCAGCGAGGTATTTGGTTTCTCTCTCGCGCCCTGTTTTAAAATGGTGGTCGTCGTTTGTACTCGTGCGTATCCAATGATTTCAACCAAATAGCTTTTTCCCTCCTTCACTTTTATTTCCCTTCTCCATTTCTCTATTTTCGCTCTGTTTGGTCCACTGAATCGACATCAAAGCAAGTTTTAATCCGTCTCATATTGGTTCGTCAACTTTGTTGGAAGTCAGTGAGGCACGTCTTTGTTAGTTGTTGATATGACGTATGTATAGCTAACACATAAAACTGGAATGGTCAACGGTTGTTGTCACACACACAAAAAAAAACAATAAAATGGAACTATTGGATTCTGTGTAGTGAAAGTAAATTAAAAACATGAAAGTAATCCTAGAAAGCAGTGATCCTAATAAAATGTCATAAAACCACATTAAACTAACGTGACGTGCTATAAATAAAAAATCTGTTTTTTTCTGTGAGTCAGTCCTATTTCTAAATCGGTCCATGAAGTGGAAGGGCGAGATTTCTTGTAAATTATGAACATCATGTGTTGCACCCAAAGGAAGGAAGGGAGTGAGATACGAAATAATACATAAGATTTCCTGCTTGACGAGACTTTTTACGTAAGAGTGAGTGGTTGTCGGTGTCTGCTGCTCCTCCGGATGGATTTATATATGTACGTACGTAGTGTGGGTAAAGTGAAGACAAAAATCTGGATCGTGGTCGTCAGTCATTTCGATTTCATGTCACAAGCATGACGAGTTTTTGGGCTCAGATTTCCTCGTCTTCTTGTTCCTCCACTCACTCCACTTTATGAGGGCCTATGAGACTCGGATTTTGACACAGTTTTATTATCCCTGTTAAAATAAACTAATTGCTCCATTTTAGAAAATGCACTCATTGTCAGATATTGCATGGCATCGAGACCACCGCACAGCACCAACTTTCACCAAGGGAAAGTGCTCAATTTAGTAAGAATCCCGCTGCTTGTGCTAGACAGACAGACGACAGCGAGGGTTACAGAGAGAGAACGAGAGTGACTTTCTCATGAAATATTTTATGGAAAAATTTAGCCGTAATAAAATTACTCTTTAAAAACGTTTGGCTTTTTTCCAGACACTACGTCAGTTAGTCTTTATATAATAACTGTGTTGTTAAAGATCGTGGTAATATGTGTCCAAATCCAAAGAATGAGACAGGGACTGACTTCAGTTATAAATATGTGTCAGGCAAAATGCTATGTTTCACAAACCTATGTAATATGTATGCATAATGGAAGGTCCTTCCTAAACGTGCAAAACTATTAGTAAATTGAGTTTTTCCTCGTAAGTTTTATATAAAAATTTACTCTAACTGACTTCGCGGAATAGTACCAGATTGTAATCTTATACAACCAAGTTCAAATTTTTAATGTTGCAGAACCAGGCAGAACCACCATTATATATTCTGTAGTTCAAAAACCTCAAATATTTCTCTACTTTTTCTATTGCTCGATGCCCATGCCTGGTTTGCGTAAGTGATAAAAATAATGTTTAAAAGTGGAAACTCATTTTCCACAAATCTTGACAGAATCTCTAACATTCAAAAATGTACGAGTTTTTTTCTCTTCATAAAAACTGGCGTTCTGGTACTTTATTCCAAATAAGAAATATTTTTGAATTCAGAAACTGTAACTTTATTTAGAAGGTCAAGTTTCTCAACTGACATAAAAATCCAGTAATAATTTATAGACCAAGTTTGAAAGAGTTTAGTTCACAGCATGCATGCACTTAAGTTAGCGGAGCGATATTTGCATGGGGACTTTTTAAAAGGACCACGTTGTGCAGAAACAGGCAAACTCATTTGTATAAGTACTCCATTTTTTCTTATGCTGAAAAAGCTTCAGGACAATCTGCCAATCTTTTACCAAGGTCATCATCGAGCATCTCATCTGGTCGAACTTGAATGAAAATTATGTTCGTCAGTGTTTGAATTTTTTTTAAAGAATTTATGTTTCGATGAAAACTACTTGAATCAAATTCAGTTCCGCAACATACGTCCCACAAATTCGGAGAGAAGTCTCTGCATGGGGTGGACGAAAATAAATGGATGAGAGAGACTCAACGAAGACGCGTCGTGGAAGACATAAAACCGTCATTTGAAGATACCAGTATGCAAATTATACCATTTGCTACTCTTCTTCCTGAATACATAGGTCGTGATGAAGACGAAGAAGGATTCGATGGCAGCAGCGGATGTAAAAGCTTGGTCTTCCGCTGGTGGTGGTGGTGTTGCATTATAGCGTGTGTTGGAGGTGAATGGAGAAAGTCGGCAGTTATTGGGTAGCATAATCCAACAATCAGAATGGGCTGAAACGGGCACAATTTTTATTTACAAAAGAGACGGAAATGATGTAGGAGAGTTTTGAATATGTGGTGGTGATGGATTCGCTACATTACATTTGGTGTGCGTATCCACATCAAATGTAGTGAATGATGGTTGTGGTGGTGGGACGAGCACAATAAATAAGCAGGTCCTTTGATCATCTCATCTCAATCTTTGACGGATACTGATGTGCTCTGTGCTCACTTCATGAACTTCATTTAATGTGATAAAAGTCCGCAATCCGTTCCTTAGATTTTTGTAGGATTATATTTTGTGAGATATTACACGCATCTACATATTAGTGAATCCTCAATGTTCTTCTATTCAATAGAGACAGTAGTGTTGGGCTTGATTTAAATTTTGTATTCTAACACCACTACCATTTTTCAACCTTGTAATACATCTAAATTTTTTGGCCGGTTGTATAATAATGGGGTTCGTAATATGGCATGTAAAAAATTAACGCTCACTGGTCCCACCACGAAAACAATTTTCTTCTTCCTTTTGCATTATGCGCACTTATTTTTACAAACGGCATTCATAAAATTTGTAAAGCCTTTGATCATTAAATGAACACTTACCCATGTAATCTCTTATTGCATTATATGCTCAGAGGAGGAGAGAAATGGTCCCCATCAGAGTAAACGATGTCCATTTGGAAAGACATTGATGTTCGCTAACCACAAATTGAGCGTTGAATTTCCTCTGGAACGTCGTTCCCAATGTATTTAGCGAATGTTGACAACGGGAAGGAGACGATGGGTCAAAGACTTTGCTGCTCGGACTTGCTTGAATCTTAGCAATAATAACAACAACCAAGACCACGAAGACGTACGTAACTCGTGGTGGTGGCGACTCGTTATCCAACAACTGCACTTCAATAACACACACACAATGGGATGCAACAACATTACGTATTCTACTCCATCCATATTCTATACCTCTTTGTATTCCACTCTGTCATTCTGAAATTGTATTTCGACCAAGCACAAAAGCTTTCCCATTGGATTTAGGGGAACCTCCGATAAAAATGACAGTGTGGACTCACTTGTACAAATCCGGAAGCTGGGGCCGTTTGATGGGAATGATTTTCGATTCCTCACTCTGCTTTACGTTTACTTGGTCCTTGATTCGAGCAGTCGTCGAGTCAAAGCGTCATCAGGGAAAGAATGCTTTCGTTGGATCTCCCACCCACATACTTGGACGACGCTTATGCCGACCTACATAACCTCGTACATATAATACACACGTGTGCCACTTAACACATTCAATACCCAGTGTCCAAAACTCGATAAAAGCTGTTACTATACTGGGAGAAAGCGGATTCAATTGCATGATTATACGTTGACCTGTCAGCGTCATGGGCTAAACTGACTGACTCTGTGACCTCAGCTTTGAGAATTGAGGATTGCGATGAGTAACATGGACCTCAAAATTCGATGTTTATAAACCACAAAAGTCTATTTGCTATTCAGCACTGTATTTGGAATAGTAATAATATTCGTGATTTGTTATCCTATTCTGTAGGAGCTTCGGAAGCAATGTCAAGAATTCGCAACTGCCCTTCTCGATCACACCCGGAGCAGTTATGAGCTGGAAGTATTGCTTAACCATGACCCTGGAGGACCAGTGTTTGAGCACGGGGTTGGTGAAAGGATGAATCTTAATCGACTCAAGCTTGCAGTCAGGTTTCGCCAAAAAAAGGTTGGTCCCCGTTTTTTTCTGATGTATTTATTCCGTTCCGTTACATAACCGTATGTTAATTTTTACCATTAAATTTATTGACGTATCATATTGTATAATCTGCAAATTGTTTGTCTATTCAAAATTCAAAATTTTGCTTTTTTATGAGCAAGGTTGGCCGCAGCAGTGTACAAAATGTATAAATTATTTGTCGAATGATTTCTGTCTGCCAATGGGTAAACAAACCTCCTGCGTCAAATATGTAGAAGTGAATTACTTTGTGTTGGCAGGGGGCAGATTCCTTTCACTTGCAGTTGAACTAGTCAACAGCAATAAATATTTAATAGATAAACAAAGATCTGGTGGTTGATTCTGCTGCCAAATCACTGAGGCTGAAGCAGCACACAAACAGAGGATGCTCAGGTTAACAATTTGTCGGAATGTGGTGGTCAGCAAATGGTAACTCATCCTTTTGACGCTGGCTGATTTCACTCCTGTTTTGTGGTTGGGGATGAAGTGGAGGCTCATATTCGGATCAGGGCAGCTCCCAGGACATGGTTTCCTCTTGTGTATATGTTTAATGAAATTCTATGCGATTCAAGTGGTCAAAAAGCGCTATTAATAGTCCGATTCTATTTCAAACTAGCGGTAGAAGTGCTAAATAAATTTCAATCTTTGCAGTTTGTTGCTCACCCCAATGTCCAGCAACTGTTGGCCTCCATTTGGTACGAAGGACTGCCCGGATTCCGCAGGAGAAATATGCTCTTTCAGGTACTGTTTAACAATGGATGTTCAAAAGTTCAAACCAAGCTTCAAAAGGTATCAACGAACTCTGGCTGAGAGTTTAAGTTACGATTTTTGTTGATGCAGGCGCTGGAAGTGATTCGCATCGGACTTCTCTTCCCATTTTTCTCCCTGTGCTACATCATTGCCCCAAAATCGTCGTGGGGCCAGACAATGAGGAAGCCTTTTATAAAATTTATTTGTCATTCCGCTTCCTACTTTACCTTTTTGTGTAAGTCATCAACTTTCTTGCCCTGCATACTATCCCTCCACGCTATGCACTCGCTATGCGGGATGGAACTTTATTGCCCATCTTCGGAGTAAACTTTCCCCTAACAAGCAGTATCTCAAAATCTCACACTTCCGACGAAATAAAAAATGTAATTCCATTATTAAATAGATCGCCATCTGTCGATAACTGCTTTCCTTATGAAAACCTCGAATGAAACATATCATCAAATCTGTTGGAGAGATGTACCCACTATTTTTAGTACAATTGGGTCAAGATACTCATGATGTTACAAAACATTTTTAAAGTCATTGCATCCTCGTATATACAATGTAATTCTCTATATTCACCAAACATAAGAGTGACACATTTATAGCCCATTGTTGCAATAATTCCGTGACCACTCATTACACTGAACCTTGCAAACTAATTGAATTACGGAGGCAATGACTCGGTCCGGATGTTGAGAGGGAGAGTAGAATTCTGTTGCACCTCATTACCCTCTCAAAGCTTCTCGTGCATTAGACGCCAGCTCATTTCGTGGTCAGTTTGTGCGGTATTCGCTTATAACTTTGGTATCATTATTGTTGCCTCGCGCTCATTAAGTAAGATTAAGAGAAAGGGCTTTTTATTGAGGAAATAAATGGGACAGTTTGTCTGAAACTGAAACCATTTGTTTTCACTTTCATCCCTGACACAATTTTTCTCTTGGGTTTCAAGAAAATATAATATGGCTGAAAGAAACTAGGCACTTTTTCCATTCGTCCAGCCGTTCTTTTCAAAATTCCAATTTACACAAGAACACAATGTATGTATATGCAATTCTTAGACCATTTTAGACCGCGTCAAGAGCAAACTGACCCTTTCAATTTGTGCCTCCAAAATTTCCTGCATTTTCCCAACATCTTATCTAATTCCCTCTGGGAGTGAGCGACAATCAATTTCCAATTTATCTACTGCCAACTAAGGACCGTGTGGCGAGAGTAAGGTGACATTCAATTATCCTGCAACCAATCCAGACCTGATTAGTTCACATTTACTTTTGGCTCAGTTAACGTTGAGAAGGTCTTCGCTGTGTCCCCAGTTTAATGCATTTCTAATGTTCCGGGGTCCTAGGGGATGGTTTGGTCTCCGTTGTAATGGGTGTCACTGAAAAGGGCGTAGATAATTGAATTACATATATTTCGCTCTATACTGAAGTGGTGGAGTATCCTCGAATGAACAATTTAACAAATAGATATGTCCCCCATTTGATTTTTTTACGAAGAGACAAAATCCAGTTAGGATAACGACCAAGACTTATTCCACTTACACTTGTCGATGATGATGATTACTTTTGTGATGGTGTCAAAAAATAAATTTTCAGTTTTGCTAATACTCGCATCTCAACGATTCGAGACATTTGTGAACGAGTGGGTGGGAGTGGAGACGGAGTGGGTCTCTACAGATGTGACCACAAAGCGAGGCGCTCCTCCAACAATCGTCGAGTGGTTCATACTAGCTTGGGTTTTTGGTAAGTTGAACTTTAGTAAGTATAAATACTTTTAGTGGCAACTTTTCTCAATTTTTCTTTCTCTACACAAATGTAATCTGTTCTATTTGTACATTTTTAAGGGTTGATTTGGAGTGGTGAGTATTTTCAACTAATTAAATATTCTGATTTGGAAGTAATTATTTACTTACGTATTTTACAACCAACAGAAATAAAACAACTTTGGGACGTTGGACTGCAAGAATACGTCAGCGATGTTTGGAACGTGCTAGACTTCATAACGAATTCGTTGTACGTTGCTACGATAGCTCTTCGAATAGTCGCTCACGCTCAGGTATGGTGAATACTGATGGGAAAAGTAATTGTCTCTCTGAATAAATACAAAGTGGACGATTAAATATTTACAGGTGAAAAGAGAGGAGGCCAATGGTATCGATACTCGCACCCAAGGTCGAGAAGATTGGGACGCGTGGGATCCCATGTTGATAGCAGAAGGATTATTTGCTGCTGCAAATATTTTTAGGTATGCGCAAAAAAGATAAGCTTTCTGCTACAAAATGTATTCTGAAAATCTGTCTTTGAACTGCAGTTCTTTAAAACTCGTATACATATTTTCCGTCAATCCGTACCTGGGTCCACTACAAATCTCATTGGGTCGAATGGTGATGGACATTATGAAGTTCTTCCTCCTCTACATTCTGGTCGTCTTTGCTTTCTCCTGTGGTAAGTGAACCGTAAAAGGAGGGAGAGATAGTGCGAGGCTGAAGTATTTAGATGACTGCCGACAGCGAGAGATGTTTGAATAGGCTTTCATTAAGCTTATGATTTCAGCAAACCACATGTATGCATTAGTGAAATTGCATGCATACAGGGGTCTTGTTATCAAATGTGAATCTCCTTTAAATACCTCCTGAAGGCAGGCAAAAGCATACCACTGATATCACCACCAGTAAATTTTACGGGAATTGTTTGGGCTCAAATTTCCAAGTGAATTTGTGAAATGAAGAGTTGGAGGGCATACCTTAAATTTTGTCGTGACTAGAATGTGATAGATATTTTAACCCGTAATGTGTAGGCGACACTAACTCGTGTTACATTTCCATTTCTCTCAACATTGCTGTTGATAAGGGCGGATAAAGAACAAAGTATTTACAGATTTAGTGCTGTGAGACTATATTTCGTGTCTATCGTTTACAAAAATCAGTAGATATAAATATGTTTTGTTGGAAGACATGGGTGTTTTTTTGATAAACCAATTTATTCGAGCTTTCGATGCTAAACTTGCATCATCAGGATTTTAACAATTTTTGGAAAAAAACAGTGATATCTTTAAAAACAATGGAGTAGATATAACTTTGATGAATGATTTTTTATTTCACAGGTATGAATCAATTACTCTGGTATTATGCGGACTTGGAACACGACAAATGCAGGAAATTGCTGGAGTTGAAGCAAATGGAAGCAGAAAATGCCACAGATAGTAATCCTTACGCAAAAGGTGTATTTCACAATGAGAGAGATCCCGAAGGATGTATTCTTTGGAGGAGATTTTCCAAGTATGCAAATGGCTTACACCACTTACAAAGATGACAATACAATTGTGCCCATTTACATATGTGTCTAGAAATGTATGTAATCGCATATATTTTTTCAGCTTATTTGAAACAAGTCAAACCCTTTTCTGGGCAGTGTTTGGCCTCATCGAGTTGGAAAGTTTCGATCTCGCCGGAATAAAAAGCTTTACTCGTTTTTGGGGCTTGTTAATGTTTGGATGTTTTTCCGTCATCAACATCGTCGTTCTTCTCAATCTACTGATTGCCATGATGAATCACTCGTACCAACTCATCTTTGTAAGTTTAACCCAAGTTTTTGCTATACAATAAATTTCGAATTGCTATATAATATTAAGAAGAGATTTTGTAATCTGTTGACTTTTTCTTTCAGGAAAAATCGGATGTCGAATGGAAATTTGCAAGGTGAGATAAATATCTTTTTATACTAAACGAAGCATGCCATTCATTATAAGATATTAAACTGCTGCGTTTAATTTTATTGTAAAACAGGTCAAAACTGTGGATCAGTTACTTTGAAGAGGGTGCCACTGTTCCTCCTCCTTTTAATGTTATCCCTGCTCCAAAAACGTTTATCTACTTTTTCAAATGGTTTTGCAAAAAGATGTGCAAGTTTTCCGTGAAAGCAAAAAGGGAGCATATCAAAACCATTCGGGTAATTTACTTTACATATTGAGTGACCGCAAATTATACAGATTAGAGATTCATTTTCTAATTAAAAACAATGTATTTTTTATAAAGTCGATTTCATTTGAATTTTTGAATTTTCTCACATTTTCTTCTGAAAAATCTTTACTTATTCATCTCCTCATTTTTTTATCCTTCAGCGGAAAGTGCAACAGCAGAGCGAAAGAGATGTACGATATCAGGTACTAATAATTTTCATACTGAACACGTATATGTACATACGTAGGTAAATATATACCGAGATTCCTTGCAACCGTCCCCTGAATTAATTTTCGTACTTTTGCACGAGAGATAATTAATTCGTATTACTCTTTTTTACAGAACATTATGAGGAACTTGGTGCGACGCTATGTGACATCTGAGCAACGACAAGCGGATAACCAAGGAGTCACTGAGGATGACGTTAATGAAATTAAACAGGACATTTCTGCATTCAGATGCGAGTTGCTGGAAGTTTTAAAGAATTCCGGGATGAACACCACTTCTGTGTCTGGATTGGGAGCTGGTATGTTTAATCAACTCTGGCAATTACGCAGCATGGCGCATATTATTATTAATTATATCGGCCAAATAATAAAATTTCCTATTTCTTGAAGGTTCTGGTGGGAAAAAGAATCGACAGCGAGAGCGAAGGCTGATGAAAGGTTTCAACATCACCCCCGCACCAGCATCATCCGTTTCAATAGCGTTGTCCGACGTGTTAGAGATGGACCCACTGCAGGAAATTGACTCCACCCATTTCGACAAGAAATCCCCCAAAGTACAGCCACACAATATTGAATGCCACAAGATTTTACCGCTTAATTAATTTTGTGAACCTTAGCCGTGTTCAGAGTAATTTGTAGTAAGATGGCTGTGTATTAACTAAATTATTTCAGACGCGACTTGCACGATTAGCTCGAATGGCGAATGCCAAAAGAGAAATGTCAAAGAAAAAGTGGGGAACTCTAATTGAGGCGGCAAGAAATGCAGGAATGTCGAAGATCATAGGAAGATCGAGGTACAATTATCTATTCAGTCTTGTATCCAGCGCATGCATCCATTACATAAATCCTCTTAATACATATGAAAATTATAGGTCAGAAGACTCGGTTTGTTCCAACTGCAGTCAAGGGAGCTCCGCCGGTGCAGTTGCAAGAAAGTTGAGACACACTTCCACAACTACAGATCACGGGTAAGTAGGATTTAGCTATTTCTTATAATAATATGGCTATGACGATTTAGACACAATTTGTATCGTTAAATTTCAGTGGTTCCAATTCGAGCATAAATCGGGACAATGATGGGAAAAAGAAACGCGAACGGTTTGCCCGAAGCAGATCAGGGGCCGCACTCCCAATGAGTTTTACCAGATTACGATTTCGCAGCAGTGGAAAAAGCAGCAGGGCGTCCGGACTGAGTCAAAGTTTAGACGCTGGCGACACGTCCGAACTAGGAGACGATTCTTTTGACGAAATTAAACCTGTGAAACGTACAACTTCCGCCCCTTCGAGGGAAGGCTCTGCAACTCCTCCTTCCGAACTGCCACCGCCACCGCCATCCGGCTTAAGCTCGTCGATCCCACACTCGCCAACAATTTTGGAGGAACCTGTACAAGTCGCGGAAGTGAAGGCATCTCCACATCAAGCACACATTTGCGTAATGTTGGAGCAAGACGTTTGCGACAGAGTAGTATTAAATCAAGACCGGCCCAAAAAACCGAATGGCTCCACTGCCACGACTCCTCCCACCACATCCACCACGACAACCACGGCAGTGACCGCACCATCCAAGTTGCAAGGGATAGTGCAACCCTTGCGACCTTCCACGTCGTCCGGTTGGTTATGAAAATCGTCACTATTTTGCGTCACTCTATTCCAAAAATCTTTGTTTTGCACTCTCGACGACACGACAAGAATCCATTTGTTGTAATTCACCACCACTCCGTTGACTGTAGTTAGATAAATAGTTTCGTGAGAATTTATATATATCGCAAATTATAATAGTGAAAATTCATAAAATGTTTAAGGTACCTGCTCTTCATAGTCTGTAAATGATGCCGCCGTCGTTATCAGACTAATTTGAGGCGAGATTTGGCCTCATATGTCAAACAAAGTTTTTTGAATTACACAAACTGTGTGATATTTATTATTTATGATGAGATAAATTGGTGTCTCTAGGCTAGCCATTTATCATAATGGGGTAGAAAATTTACCACATTGAGATTTTATATATATATCAAATTTCCATTAAGTATGTGCCCCGTGCCACATACCTCCGCTAGTCGTGTTTTGATTAATTAGCACATCTCACTTGTACCTTAATTATCTAGTCAAGTAGATAGATACGAACTCGGATGATCCTTTTTGCCATTTTCCATCCTTTCCAGATATTCTGATCTTTCTGATGTTAGCATTTGTTATTATCTAGAAGCCAAGCGTCTTTGGCTTTCACTACCATTTCAAATTATTCGGTTGACTGTACCACTCCAGGAAATTAATTGTTTCCAGATTGGTTATCTACTTATCACACTCTTTTCACCTAACTTAAACGAGTCAAGTTTTATTCGCCGTTAAAATTTGTACAATACCGAAACTAAGTAAGCTCTCTTGCTGTTCCATGATGAAAATGTTGTCAAAACTTTGTTGTCAAACTTTCACTTTATATGTACATAAACATATATCTATTGTAAATTCAAACTCATCAAATTGTGCTCATCAGATTCCAGTGATAACTTGTTGATCCCACTATGCTACATACAACAAGTACATAAATTTAGGATATGAAAAGTATCCACTCACAAAGATTCGCTATTTGTACCGTCTGTCTCCTATGCTGAACCTCGACAAGCTTTATTGGATCTAAATGTATATCTCCCTATCTACTTATGCCTCACATTCTTTGTAAAGACACAACTGGAAATGTGAAACCTGGACCATTCTTCAGACAGACCAGAGTTTGCGGATTATATTTCGGCCTGGTTGGACGATAAGTTACGTATGTAATAGCCACAGCATGTATAATTACATTGTGCGATACTTTGTAAAATCAATGTCACATTTTAATAACTGCACTTAACCTCAGTAGAATGTAGTAGTGAGTCGTTTAAACAAATTGTATTTTCATTCCGAGGAAACGTACAAATGGAAAAATGTGTGTAATAATCTGTCTGTAGTGACACGTTTCATTAATCGATGAGTAAAGGTGAAGATTCTATTCATTTCTAGTCTGTCGGTCGTGATGTGTCTGCTTTTTTGCAAATTTCTCAGTCACCATTTGCCCATAAATCTAGAAAATAATTATTAACATTTTGACATATATTTATAGGTACACATCCAATTTATTACATGATATGACACCGAGTTAGCCATTTGGCATATTAACTTTTTCTGTTTTTTTAGTACAACAATAGAGTAATATTCATATTAATAGTGAAGAAGCTCAAAATTAAAAGTAAAACATTTATATTTTCTTGTCCTTATGAATACTTAGCACTGACGTAATGTGGGCTGTTTATGTTTATAGCCACCCAAATATTTTCTGAATATAAGTATCTTAAACTTAAAATCTGATGTAGCGATAGACAAGCACGTTCAGGTTCCCATTTTTACGATGAAACTCTAACTCACTAAAACATTTAGGTAAAAGCTTTGTAGTAAAAGTAGTGAATTGTGTAACTCATAAAGGAACAAACCAACATCATAAAGAACTATCAACTGGTGACGAATCCTCCTGGGTACAACACATTTAATAATATCTCGCATAAACGTACTTACTACTCTAACAAGTTCAAAAAGACACATCTACATACTTATCATCCAATGAAACACACATATAATAGTTTTACATACATATATTACGAAACTGAAAGTGTACTCAGATGCCTGTGGCCTTTATCTCGTAAATGTGCACGTGAAACACCTTTGTTATATGAATATTATGTGCAAACAGTCATGCATTGCACACAGCAATTCCTTCTTTCACTGTTCTCTCTGACACACAACGTCGTCGTCCCATTATCATATTATTATCAATACTTTCTAGTGTGTGCTCCACATATTGTTTCACTTTCAATGAATGTATCCGTCATAATATCCATGTCCATCCGTGGATGACGAAGCTCCTCCATACTGCTGATAAGAGTATGGCTGGTGGTTCTGCGGACACGACATTCCTTTGCACTTTCTCCTGTGCTCCAACTTGGGACAGGGAGCACCCCCGTTTTCGGGAAACCTCTGAAATTCGTAATTAAAAAATGCGTATTATTATTTCCCATGAAACAGGATGTGTATTTATGAAAGAGTTGAATGTAAATACTATTCCATCAATTCCAACCTTAATGTAGCGAGTTCTGTATTTGTGTCCGCGACCACAGCTCACACTGCATCCGCTCCAAGCACCCCACTCGCTCACGTCACAATCGCTGACCGGCCCGTCGTTGAACGGAGATTGAGAGGAAATGGTGGCTGACATGATGTGTTCATGGAGAGGGTACTGGTTCGATGAGAAAGGGTTGTACACGTTGGGGTTGATACTGTTACCGCTGGACTGGAGGTTGTTGACACTTCGGTATCCAGCATTGCCGTGGTATGATTGATGTCTCATCATCGGCTCGGAAAAAGCGTCTTCTGACCATCGCAACAATAACGAGAAAAACAACGTGAGTGAAATTCATGCCCAGAATATAAAGTGAAACTATTGTTATTTTTAAATTTTGTTAACAACCTTTCAAAGAACCGCATGTTTTCTCACATTCGTCTTCCTTATCAAACATGTTGGCATTCCCTTGACATCCCGAGTACTTAAATTTGCTGCAAGTTTTGCTTTGAGAGTCGAAATACCATCGGCTATAACTTCCATCGCAAGAGCCGGGATCTCTGGGCAACATGCAAATTTCTGTACGTAAAAAAAGGCATAAACGTTTATCATGATGGTTTTCAGATAGTAAAGAAAGAGAAAGAAAATTGAATGCGTTCATGTTACGGACCTTGTACTCTGGAGGGATCACAATCGGGTAAAAGTCCGCTACATGCCTCACTCTCCATCAGACTTGCGTTGCATCCGATTGTGTAAGATCTTGCGGGTACGGCGTACATCCTATTTTTTAAAAGGTGTTATTTTTACAGAGACGTTTATGACTCAAATTGATAGTCTGTCGCATACGTACCGATGACGCTGTCTCATCCCGTTTCCACAAACGGTGGCAGAACATGCTTCCCAATCTCCCCAATCCGTTGTCTCACAACCTGGTATTATCTATTTGCACATTGAATGAAATTAAACATGAGCATAGCATTATTTTTATAAACATTTTGTGCTACCTGCTCCGGTTCATTGCAGTTTCTCGAAGATCCGAAACATTGTTCATTTTCAACCAACACATTTTTATTACAGTTGTAAGTTTCTGCCAGCCCAGGGTTGACAAACTCCCTTCGTCTTCTGTGAATCCCTTGACCACAGGTTTTCGAGCAAGTTCCCCACGGTCTCCATTTCGTAGTTGCACAAGGATCATCTCTTCCTACTTGTGACCCACCTGGGGTGGAACCACCACCAAAATTCCCATTATTACTGCCACCACCACCACCATAGTGACCTCCGGAAGTACGGTATGTGTTGCCATTGTAATTCGAGCCAGATGAGTGGACACTACTGTGGACAAAACAAAGAGCAGTTGGGAAACTTAATCTTCCACTAGAGTAAAACTGAAAAGATGTCAAGCAAATGTTGAGGAAGGGAAAGAAGGATAAAAAAAGACGGGAAGTGCAAGTGAAGAAGCTTTGGCAAATTCCCCGTTGGGCAACCATTCTTAGCAAATAGACGAACTAGCCGATATGGACACCACAACTTCAAATATTGTTGTAACGACGCCCACAATTCACCCGTCATATATAGATTATGATGGATTTGCCAACCAGAAATTTCCCATGGTCTCCACCCTCCCAAAGAAAACAAACACGATGATGATCTTCAACATCCGGTTTTTATCTGTTGGTCGTCTCTTCTCCTGCTATCATGATGTATTGTATTTGCTTTATTATGGTTTCGAATTCCAAAGCAATTTCCATTTAATGGTTGGTCGAGCGATGTGTAGGAAGCAGCAACAAGGAAGGAATTTCTCCATTCACCACTCTTGCGAGAGATCAAAGGGAGAAAAGAGTGAGAGAGAGAATAGGAAAGAAATAAAGAAAGAAAGTTGATCCAATTGAGGCAATCGTTCACTAACGCGCAAGGGACATGTGAATCACATGCCACGGACTGGGTGAGCTTTCGGCTGCAGCCCAATTCTTTGGCTTTGAGGTCCAAGAATTGTCTTTTTCGATGTAGCACGCCTTTTCCACAAGTTGCAGAGCAAGGAGTCTCAATCCACTGGGTTACGGCACACTCGGCTGAAATAAATTGTAACATATCGTCAGACACATATGAATACCTACTCACTGACCAACAGCATTCTCTTAACTAGAGCGGGATCATTTTACTATTACAATGTCTACCTCCCTGAGGACTGATCAAATTGACCAGATCAAAAGACAGACCAGAATTTTCCACAATTAAGTATTAAACTGGACAATAAGTCAGGTTAAGCTTCCACTTCTCCGATCAAAAGAATACTTATGATGAAGATGCATTGAAACGTAGCCACCCGAAATCGGACGCAGTTAGAGAAAGACGTGAACGCATTTTGGTGACCAGTTAGCTACTACTGCATAACTTTGAAAAGAAAAGCATAGGAAAATATAGAAATAAATGTACGTACGCCGGTCTTCGAACGAGTCCTCGTCCTCGTCCCAATCTTGCGAGTAGTTTGGTCCAGCGCGACGTGCATCCTCGTCACAAGTTCGTTCATAAGAGCGTTGCTTTTGGATCCTCAATTTTGCAAAGGGCTTAACCATATTTCCACTGGGATCGTAGAATGGGGACTCTGGTCTTGGATTCCACACAATGCGACTGATTCGCTCCCGTGGAATCGTTGGGTTCTTTTCCGCCTGGGCACGAAAAGTACAATTCAATCATGAAGTTAAGACGACCCAAGAGGAGTGCCGCATATATAAATTGAGACGCGACTGCATTATGAGAAGTCCAGCAGGTTATTATCCCTCACTGACTCCATTGAAAAGTGGTCTGCTCATCCTCATACATATTTAGAAGCGTTTACTATGCTCATCCCTTTAGCAATAGACAAAAATTAACAAAACAACATCCCAGGCACTGTACTACTTACACATAACTTAATTTTGAGCAATAAAATCGGATGAATTATGTCGAATTCATTGAGGTGGACGAAGCCTTAAGGATGTCTAAACCCAATCATAAACAAGAGTCCACAAAATTCATGCTTATATTGAAAAGTATTTTTTTAACTGGAAGCAGGCACCAGAATTACTATGACGATAGTCCCTCCCTCAACCACTTTTTCTCTATAGGGACTCTCAAGAACTGCTCAGAAACTGATCAGAAATGTAAACAACGCAAAATTGCGCGATCGACATGCAATTCAAAACTTAAGCATTTTGTAACCTTAAAAATACATTTTTAATTTATTTTTATCGCCATGACCTTTTTTTCGACACCATATGACCTGACTCACTAAAATTGCGCGATCGACTTGAAATTCAAAACTTAAGCCTTGTGCGACTTGACATTTTTAATTTATTTTTATCGCCATGACCTTTTTTTCGACACCATATCGCGCAATTTTAGTGAGTCAGGTCATAAGGTGTCGAAAAAAAGGTCATGGCGATAAAAATAAATTAGAAATGTATTTTCCAAGTCGCAAAACACTTACATTTTGAATTTCAAGTCGATCGCGCAATTTTAGTGAGTCAGGTCATATGGTGTCGAAAAAAAGGTCATGGCGATAAAAATAAATTAGAAATGTATTTTTAAGGTTACAAAATGCTTAAGTTTTGAATTGCATGTCGATCGCGCAATTTTGCGTTGTTTACATTTCTGATCAGTTTCTGAGCAGTTCTTGAGAGTCCCTATAGAGAAAAAGTGGTTGAGGGAGGGACTATCGTCATAGCAATTCTGGTGCCTGACTGGAAGCCCAAGAGAAATGCAATTCCACTAGCTTTGTGAAAAAGCGAGAAACTCAGGAGGGGAGCTTGCGAGGTTGATAATAACAGATTGTGATGCCCTTTGGATATGTGGTAGTTTCCGATGAATGTACTAAAACCCTGAAGTGGTTTGACTCCATGGCCACATTTGCGCCCGCCACACCCACTCTAAAATTCCCAATAATCGCTTTCACTTCAGTTTTCACTCACTCAAATCCACGCCAAAAATCCAATTTTACTCGGATTTTGAAATTTCTTTCACCATTACACTCCCAGATAGTTGCTTTCTTCAATACAATATCAAACTCAATTTTGCTGATGATTATTTCGCAGGCATAATTTGCGTTGTTGATTACTACAACAATGCTCATTCAGAATTATAAATTTTTAAAATACTAAAAATTTCGAAAATATTGAGTTTGATATTGTATTGAAGAAAGCAACTATGTGGGAGTGTAATAGTGAAAGAAATTTCAAAATCCGAGTAAAATTGGATTTTTGGCGGGGCTTTGAGTGCGTGGAAACTGGAGTGAAAGCGTTTTTTTGGGAATTTTTGAGTGGGTGTGGCGGGCGCAAATGTGGCCATGGAGTCAAACCACTTCAGGGTTTTAGTACACTCATGGGTCCCCACCACATATCCAAAGGGCATCGAGATCTGTTATTATCAACCTCGCAAGCTCCCCTCCTCAGTGAAAAACTGGACTCACCAAATACGAGATCCCACTGTCCGTCCCAGCGTCCCACGGATACAAAGGAATTATTTTTGAGTCGGTCCAGCTACAATTTCTCAGGCAGAGGTTTAACGCAGCCACCCCAACAAACCAGTCGGGAGACGGGGCTGTAAATGGGAAAGCAGTCAAAGCAGTTGTCAAAATTTTCACCCACGCAAACATTTATGGCAATGTATTTACTCCTCGACATGATATAAACTCACCGATTTTAGAAACAAGAGAAACCAAATTATGGTCTCGGTCTGCCCGAAATACGGCGAATGTTTTGTGCCCGTAGAAATTGGGGTGTCTCAATCCTCTGGCTTTTATAATGGTTCGAATATGTGCACTCTGAAATTGGTTGGGAACAACTGGGTAAGCAAATTAATTTTTTCAAGTATCTCCTCGGGTATGCAATTTGGTAGAACCTCATCTTTAAGTTCTCTCTCCAAGTCCTTGGAATCTCCAGCCTCGGCAAGTTGCCTCAACCCTTCGGATGCTGGTTCATTCTGCTGCCAGAACTTGAAAGTTGGCGAGTGTGAGGCTCCAACGATGTCACTGAAGTGGGCACTCCAGGCGTCAGCGGGAAATTCCTTTGGGTGCGTTAAAGGTGACCATAATCCCTCGAACGTCAACTAAACACATTTCCAAACACGTTTACATAATTTAAACAAACATCACTCAAGTCAAAAACAGCAGCAGCAACACGTTTCGTTTGATTCTCCATTAAATTTCATGGCACTCTTGACTCAACTCTTCTTTTACGTATTCTCGAAATTAAAGGGGAGAAGAGTGAGGCCAGGAGAGGTTGCTAAATAAGTCGACTGACCTCATATTTCGCCTCGTCACAAGCACAGCAAGGTTCCGTGTCTTCATTTTCTTCTTCTCCGACCTCGGTTTCGGGACAAAGCTGTTTTGTAAGCTCTCCATCGTCCATAAACCATTGTCCTTTGTTCTTTATTATGGTAGCTCTGGTAGAAATAAACAAGATAATATTGTACTTAATTCTGACATTCGTCTTTTAGCTCTAGATAAAAACTGACATTATGAAGAAATACTTTATTGACTTAATCAACTTAAAAAACAATGTTTTCAGATTGCTCCATTTAATTTTTGGTCTTTGGCTACTTTTACTATATTGAGCTTTATTGTAAACTTCTAGAAAATCCGGATCAATTTTCTTATTGGAAGAATTATTACTTGTTTGAACGAGTATCTGCAGGGCCGAATTTGGTAACAATTTCTGAAATGTTTCATATACTACCATTCTCGAAACGACTTGTACAAACTGATACATTTTAATGCAATTTTATGGACACGAAAAATCCCTACTCTATCAAAATGTGCATGTTTCATGTTTTTCGCTAAGAACAACTTGTTCGGTCAAAATCCATCAGCACTGAACCAATTTTGTTTGTTTTGAGGAAATGGAAAAGTTTCATCATAGGTTCACGCAATGTCTGACGTAAAAAATGTAATTTATGAGGAGCATGTAAAATCCAGTCGAAACTTCCGACACAACGGATGAATCGGTAACACCAACCAGCCAGGCGAGGCGAGAAGAGAAGAGATACATACATATGAATACACATTGGTGATGGTGAAACGAAGGCGAGCGTGTTCGCCTAGATTTTATTTAACATCTTCTAACCAAATACGTATGTATGTAGTTTATGTAAGATTTGTGCTCCTACTTTCTCCATCAAACCAATACACGCAATTTTGCCTCTGCTTTTGTTAGGATCGTGCTCATCAATCACGGCAGGAATACTTACATATATGCATACACTCAACGTATTTATGTCTGGTTAATAAATATGCAACCTAAAATTATTATGTATATTATCTCATCGCAAAATACATACAGACTTTCAAAAAAAAAACTTTCCCCGCATAATGTAGATTATTTGCAAAAAAAGGTTTGGGGACTTCATTGCAATGTTTGTATACGCACATAAATAATGAAATTTTAAATATGTCACTCGAACACACAATTTTACACCTTTACAGCATACATACATACTTCTTACATTATTTTATAATTATGATGGGTTTATGCTGTTAAATTTTCATTGCAAGATAAATTGTAAATTCTGCAAATTTCCTTTCCTATTTAATTCGATTGGATAGCAAATCGGATATTGCTACATTGCATCGTTTTAAATTTCCTTTTTCTCTCCAGTCTGGTTATTTGTCAGGGTTGTTGAGTCATAAAAAATAGGAATATAGGAAATTTCTTGTAACTCGTGAATACGTATTGAAATTGAGAATGATGTGTAAGGCGTGGGGGTACAAAAGTTCGGGCAATATTGAACAATACTACACACATTCACAGTGAGATTGCGCTTTTATAAATGGATTGCACTAGTGTAGTTGATGGGGAACCCTGTTTTATAATTTGACTTGACTTTCTGGATGGAGGTAGTGAAATGGAAAATGGATCATTGGATGGAACAAGTGGAGGCCAAATGAGAGCTGAATTGCTCAGATAAATTGGTCGCTGGTTATAAAAGTACGAGTGAGAGATTCGGTTTGTGGAGATGGCAATTGATAGGAAGTTTGGGTCTAGAGCCAATTCCGGGGTCAGGGCAATAAATAAATTCGATCGTCGATTCAAGTAAACGAGATTCTGGTTCACACCTGAAACTCACACATCCTGTGGCCACCGCGGGTGCAATCCATTGTACTTGGACCTCCGACTTTGGAACTTCAGACGCGTGTTTTACAGCATGAGGACAATACTCACTGAATCTCGCGAAGGAGTCGCTCTTTGTCAACTGGAAATTTCCTGCCGAACTCTCCGGTGAAAGTCCATCTGTTGGTTCGGCAACTAGTAGGAAACCTGTGAATTTTTCCACGCTAAACTGGCTCCCAGGCCCTTGGAGTCGAACTGCAAGCATTAAAAAATATAGGTCAGTCATATGCATCATTTTCAACTTAGCCCAAGTAAAAGATTTACAGCATATCAGGTATAAAAATAGCATGCACAAATTTGCACTTTCTCCACCCATTTTTAACCCCAATACTTACTGGTTGGTTACTCTCTGATTTTGAAAAAAAGTATAAGATTACCATAACCGCAGAATAATCCTATAATAATGGCCAATTAAGAAACCACCATGACTCCTTAAAAGTGTAAGGATGGAAATTAAGACGTTAAGATGATTTCTTCCTTGCCATTATTCTACCACATCGTCCGCTGTTACCACCACTAACCTCCCATTGTTTCATCGTCTGCATACACTACAAAATGTAAAGGGTGTTAATAAAGTCCGATCCCATGCATTTTTTGGAGCGTGGTTGTTACAAATTCAGCTGGAACTTTTGAACCAGTGAAGTTATTTATTTCAAATTTTTACCATGGGAGGAACAACTAAACGTGTAAGTCATGAGCATCTTAGAGTTGAGATACAAACATTGCATCAGCAGGGGCTTAAACCTACAGAAATTGTGCAAAAATTGGGCTGCAGCCGCAGAACTGTTTGGAAATGGAAGAATAAAAATTTTGTCCACGACAAAAAGCGACCAGGGCGACCCAGAAAGGTGTCACCTACCACAAAAAGAATGATTAAAAACAGACTTTGCAAGAAAACCGGTAGTTCATTACGTAATTGAGCAAGGGAGTTAAATGACTCAAAACGCTATAAAGAGAAGAAGAAGCAAATTAACTGTGTGACCGTGCAAAAATTTGTGAAAACTACGAAGTGGGGTCACACAGCTTACAAACTAACCAAAAAAACCTCTCATGTCACAAAAATATATCGATGACCGTCTGAAATTTGAAGAACTCCTTCAGAAAAGTGCCCATTTGAGTGAAAAAAGACTTGGTGAAGAATTGCGCAGTCACATCCTTTGGACTGACGAATCTATTATTGAACTATATCCAAAATTGAACCAACAAAATGTTCGTTACAGGACAGAAAACAAATCGGATGTACCATCAAGAGCGATCCCAAAATTCGGGCTTAAAGTTATGGTAGCGGGTGGATTTTGTGCACGTTGCGTGACCCCTCTACATATCATACCAAAAGGCCAATCAGTCAATGCAAAGCATTATATGGAAAAAATATTACCTATCTATTTCGATAGCATGGGGAACAAGGAAATATTTCCGAATGAAAGAAAAATAGTTTTCATGCAGGATGGTGCTATAGCCCATACAGCAAAAGCGAATTTGAGTCTCATCAAGACGCAAGTTTCAACGGTCTGGAGCAAGGGGGTGTGGGCCGCTAACGGCCCAGATTTGAATCCCCTGAAGAACCAGTGGTCCATACTTAAGGAAAATGTATACAAAGAGCCACAACCCCGGACGAGGGAAGAGCTAGTAAAAAAAAGTTCAAGATGTATGGAATTCGATTTCCAGAGGCACATTGGAAAAATTAGCACAGAGCCTTAAACAAAGAGTTGAGGGCATGGTTAAAGTAAATGGTAACAAGACCAAATACTAAGGTAAATATGTCGAACATTTTTTGTAAGTATCACGGGTAGTTTTTTTTTATACTAGCCTTCACTTTTTTACAGGAAAAATGGGATCGGACTTTATTAACACCCTGTAGTAGCAAAAGTGTAATCGTTTAAGGATAGGAGTAGAAAACCCGGAAATTAAGGAAATATGCCGCCACACTAAAGATTATCTTCTTGCACATTTTTCTCCCCTTTTTTGCGAAGGAATAAATCCTCTTGTGGATAGTTTCAATGCGTCGTTTATGTACCGAGATGATGATGATGAGGACGATATTAAGGCCAAGAAAGTAAAGTCGCAGGAGCAGCAGAGATTTTATTATGAGAAACATAAGAAGTGTATGAGTAAGTTCTTCTCTTTTTGAGTGGGGGTGCACGGTGGCGTCGGGTCGGGTGCTTGCCATTATCTGGTGAGAGAAAGAGCTGCCGAGGAAATAATGGATGAAAGGGAAGAAGGCGTTTGTTTATGCACGGGGTGAAGGTGGTAAAACTTTCCCTGGCACGTTGACACTTTCTTTTCTTCCATTTGCTGGATGGAGAGAGAAACTTGAGAATTATCTGACTTGCTGTCCATGGACAACCAACCAAGCAACTTTAGTCGGCTGACAGAGTAGTTAATTCTCTCCCACTCCATATACTTACTTATGTACGTATATCTGGCTGGGCAAGAGCGGAGAGGAATGCGGGGTACGAAATAAAAATGGGATTAGGCAAATACTTGCCCTTTATCCTCTTACTTAGCTTCCCCACAGATTGGAATACATTAATACATTTCCCGTAATTGCAAAATGGCGGAACGGGAGCAACAACTGGTGTTAAATATTGTATTGTTTCATGAATAGTGATTAATTTCTGTGAAGAAACGGGAAAGTTCCATGTGCACACTTACATATTCCATGCAATTACTATTTGGAGGCATAATTGAACATGTCATTATTCTGAGATGGAAGGAAAATGAAAAACTTTTCGGCAGAAATTATACATGTCATCAGAATTGTAATCGAAATTTCCTTCTTCTCTTCTTCTTCTCCTTCTCTTTCAACCCTTTACATTATCCTCCTCCTTCAAATTGAAATGACACGTGCATGATCACTCGCTTTGAAGAGAGAAATCATTGAAAACTCGACTTTTTCCATAAAATCACATCGGGATCAAATGAAAAAAGTGAGAGGAGCCTCACCAGCAGCACACCCACTCGCACGACGAAAGTACATACCACCGAGAAGAACTATGGCACATGAGAGGAGACGATGGGGAAAGGTGACGGTGGTGAAAGCGGTGAAAGTGAGTGTGGAAGGTGGCCAAGTGGAGAACATTGCGAGATGGAGATTACATAAGTACTTTTCCTCATTCCAATTTCTGGTGGTGACATTTCCCAACACCCTCCTGGATAAATCTCTCTTTCCTTTTCTCCATTTCTACCCAGCATTCGAATATCCCATCCTGTTTTCTCCCGTCTTTCGCCGTCTTTCACGTATCACCTTCCCCGCCTCAACTTTCCTCTTTTAATCAACCTCTAGGATTAATCCGTCTACACTTTCATAATCAAATCCATTATACCAATCCGTCCTCACACACGGTCTAATTAGGAGGCAATCTACTCCACTAAGGATTTATCCTGGAGAAGCAGATTGCCCACATTGTTATCAAAGTTGAGCTGGAAATGGTGAATTCTCCACCACCAAATCTATGTAGAAAGCTATAAATCAATAACAAGTTATCAAAGTGAGATGGAATTGTCTTTCGTAATAAAACTGCCGGGATGCATTACGGCGGATTTTAAGGGTTTTCTGGTAACACAAGTTCCACGGGAGGAGGATGATGATAACGGATCAAAGTGAAGTCGGTTAATAATGGTCGGCACATTTTGCAGCTAAGAAAGCCTCCTCATTGATGAAGAAGCATTATATAAGATGGCAAACTGATGTGTAGCAGCAGATGGATCAGAATGTGCATTAGTTTGCCATTGGTTTGACCTAGATTGAAAATTGGGATGAAATCGCCATGTTTTATCACCATGTTTTTTTCTAATTGGTATGTCCAGAAAAAAGGTAGAGATTTATATGGAGCATTCTTCTACAAACGATGCCAAATTAGATTTCCCTTCGCCATGGATGGATAGAGATGTTGGAGAAAAATGAGGCAAATTACGTCATGACGCTGTGAAATCAGCTTTTATTTTTCATAATAGTTTTTCCTTTGCTCCAATAGACAAAGAAATAGAACTTTTTCAACACTTAAAAATTCAAAGATTACAAGACATTCTTGTTCTTTTGAAGGTTTTAATCAGGATGAACTTTAGCGCTTTGTAGATATATTCGCTCGGATGAAAATTTGGAGCCTGTCGAAAATTAATTTAATGAAATGGTTTACTACACTGTAAAAACATCCTGTATGTAAAACAACCTTTATCAAAACTTGCAATAAATCTCAACTTTACCTCCTCCTTCTCCTCTCAGATGAAAAAAAGTGCAGAGTTCTGCTTCATGTAACAGAAATTATTCATTCTGCATGCCACTTTTCCATATCCTCCTCAATAACGAACATTCTCAAAGAATCATGAAATGCAATAACATCCAAAATGCACTACAAGTACAAAAGGCGTTAGGACATGGTTTTGACGAATTCGCGGTTGAATATCTTTGGCGGGGAGTTGAATTTTGAACTGATTTTTGGTCAGTTGCAAGATAATACTCTCAAAAAGATATATTTAAAATTTTGGGCCGATAGCTTTATAAATGCCCCCTCCATTGCCCCCAGAGTTTGAAGGAGCCAAAAAAACACTTTCCAAACTGAATTACTCATATAGCATGATAACCTAAGAGGTCAGAGGTGAATGATTGTTAATATTACAACCCTAGATAATCATTGCATGTAATAATAAAAGAATCCACAATGAATTACATAACGTTGGGCCTCCATCGTCGCTGATACGTTTTCATGAAAAGTGATCAATCGGACCGTGCACAGGAAAATTGACCTGCTGACCTTTAAAGCGGACCCACTAGGTCAAATGAAGATTGAGGGCAAAGCTCTAAGTGTCTCAAGTAATATTAAATTAAACAGTGAAGATTTTGTGTAAACAGTTTTGGAGAAGGACCCTAGCTAATCAGCTGACGGGGAATAGTAAAAAACTCGTGAACTAATTTAGGAAAATAATGGTCAAATTTTGTTGAAAACAAATTTTAATAACTTTTTTGTGTTCCCTGCTGCAGAACTATTTTACCTACAAGGTACAAGTGACAAAATAATAAAATTACTGCGTTTTGATTAGTTAAAAAAATTTAAAGTTCCGCTTCAATTTCGAGGAGAACTTTTGTAAAAATTTTATAGGGTTTGATGGAAACTCATTTCCTGGGGTGTAACCACTTATCAAAATTTTATCAAAAGTACTTACAATGCAACATACAATTTCTACCTTGGATAAAAACCACGTTAGGGATTTTTAGCATCAAAGTCCTAAAATGTGGGGGCCTTTAAAGTCGAGGAGTTGCGTTCAAGAGAGCATTCCATTAAGACAAGTATGAAGCTAGACTACAAAAGGGACTTAAAAGATAAGCATGATACAAAAGTGGTTTTATATAGTGAAAAGCATGCTAAGTCCCTTGATAATAGTCGCAAAGACGATTTTTGCACCAGGACCTCAGAAAAAAATATTTTGTTCAACGCCATTTTATAAGAACACTGGTTTGGAAAACTAAAAAAGGACACCTCTCCAAATTTGACCTTTCCTCATTTCGCAGAGTACATAAAATCGGAAGCCAGATATGCTTACCTATAGTTTGAGACATGGGCTTTCACATAAAAAATGTTAGAAATCTCTACAACTAAAAACCATCCCGCAATTAAGGTATGAATTCGTCAAAACCATGTCCTAACGCCTTTTGTAACGTAAGGATTGAAACTTAAACCAGTTCCCTAACTACAAATAAAGAAGTTCTACTGACAAATGTGAGCAGTATGCAACGTTATAAATTTCGAGTGTGGTGTCGACTCGTGGGTCCCAAGAGGAAAATATTTCTTGGGAAATCTGAGCTGCCTGAGTTAGACCACCAGACACACACACTTGCTAAAAAAGATCTTAGGAGCTGAATCTCACAATGCGATGGTGTGAAGTGTAACCCTCCGATTTAGCTGAAATTTTAAAATTAGGTGGTCCAAGCCAATACAACTAACGTTTCTTCAGGCAGTTTGTGCGATGGTGAGAGTTACTCAAAATATTTGAGGTCAAAGTTCAAAAAACGGCCGACTTTTTTCAGGCGGAGTGAGAAAACTCCACTTCCATTCTCTTCCCCTCGCTTTGATTTTATTCAGGCGTCTCGCTCATGCATACGCCTTCATGCTCAAGCACAAGCTTTGATGCAAACTAATAAAAAATAAACATTATTAATTATAGCTTAAAGAGCAATTAATACGCATTATACATACTTAATTTAATTTATAATTAAATAAGTGAGATTTTTACTTATTTCTAGTACAAATTTACATAAAAGTTAATTTATAAATTCGCCAACGGCAAATAAACATGGAAAAACTTAACTTGCTTTCCATTTCGAAAGCGTTGGTTATTCTAATATCCAATTATATATTAATATTTTAAATGCTCCTGTGATTCGATATTGTTGGTACTCAAGCGGATCATGGGGTGATGACGAAAAGCCCGAGTTTAAAAATGTAAGCGAAGTTTGTTTTAGAGAAAAAAATATTAGTTGCGACCTGAATGGTGGCAATCACAAATTCATCAAATTCAGCTGGTGCAGTTTATCGTATTGTTTTGTGGACTTTTATGAAAATAATCATATAGTCACATGTGGAATGAATAATTAATATTTTTCTATAAAAAATTAAATTTAAAATTGTTGAAATGAATTATTTTTCGGAGTGAAAATCAAAGCGAGGGGAAGAGAATGGAAGTGGAGTTTTCTCACTCCGCCTGAAAAAAGTCGGCCGTTTTTTGAACTTTGACCTCAAATATTTTGAGTAACTCTCACCATCGCACAAACTGCCTGAAGAAACGTTAGTTGTATTGGCTTGGACCACCTAATTTTAAAATTTCAGCCAAATCGGAGGGTTACACTTCACATCATCGCATTGTCAGTTAAAATGTAGTAAAGATTTTTACGACAACTTGAGATCTCTCAAATGAGAATTTGTAAAAAGTAAAAAAGAAAATCACTAAAGCGATTCAAACTTTAAAACCTAAGAATGAATCTGAAAACTGTGTTTTGTATTTGTTTAAATATATGTTTTACTCCAATTACCTTAATTATCCAATTTACAATATTGTGTTTAGTAAGATAAAATAAGACCCATATAATTTGGCAAATAAGTAAGATCAACAAATGCATCATTAGTGACGCCACATGCCTTCGTTGTAAAAAAACACTGTTCGCAATGGCATAATAAACAGTGTCCCAGTAATAACAACCAGTTTTAATCCATTGCCGTTATAATTAATGTCGCGCCGTATGGCTACAAAAGAGTAAATGAACATTTCATTCTTCGTAATTATACCATGAAGAATATAAAACCTTTCTCAGCATAAAATTCACGACCGATTGAATACCACAGCTGAACAAAGATATGCATAATTAGGAGAAATTGCGCAACTTAAGTGAAAAGACAGTTTAAGGAATGCTGAATCAAAAGCTTATTTTTCAACTTCAGTTTTCGCCAAAATATGCGAGAAATGCATACAAAACAATCTACACATTGATAAGCTGACTTGAAATTTTAGCAAACTTTATCTACCCACTAGTTAGCAAAGATCAGCAACTCTGTCCCAATTTTAGCCACTTGAGTACAAGTTTTCTTCATAAACATAAAAGCGTTATGCGTGGTTGTAATGGAATCCATTGAGGAAAACAGAAGGTGGTTGGAATATCAAACTGCTATTTATCAAAGATTTGCATAATTCCAAGAAATCTCCTCATAAATTTCTCTCATTGCGACACAAGTGTCACCAAGGTTTTGTAAAGTGACACAGGCACGATTTACTTCTTCCTGTCGTCATTCACATCCAGCAATTCCATTTGAGCTTGTCCGGACTAAATAACTGGTCCGTGAGCAAGTATTGGATGGATGGATGGGAGAGGAAAGGGATGAAAACTCATATTTATTATACATATTTCTACAAAATGTTATGCGTCTTTTGCAGTTCATTACTTCTTCGCCTTGAACCAGATTATTATTACGTGTTTATTGGGAGGCTGTGAGCAGAAAATCAAAATATGTATTCTCTCCGGTTTCCTCGAGCTCATCACCTTTTGCCACAAACCAACAAACCCTTCTTGGTGGTTCTGGCACCCAAATGAAACAAATAAGTCATACCTTAAGTTACTCGATAAGCCAAATCTGCGTAAGCTAACAATTCTCACCCGCTCAGCTCCTCTTTCAGGCGAAGTTCCTGGCAGATGAAGAATGTGCACAATAAATGGATGACACGCCAGGATGTTTTCCACCACCATAGGCCATTACTCACTATTAGAACTCGCAAGTAAAAGTTAACTTTCTCCCACTCGCTCCTCGCTTATATAAACCTGCTCTATCTTTTCCCAAACAATAATTCCAACACCCAAACAAAGCGACTTTCTTCGCTCTAATTTGAATTATGTATGATAAACAAACACGGACAAACCAACCTTCGCCCAAGAAGTGCGAATAAAGCACACAATGAAATACCAGTCGTTACGCCGTCCGACCAAAGTGGTGAAAGTAAAATGTGATAAACACCTAAAACAACTTTATCCCCTCTATTTTGTTTATTCCTGATTCTATTTCGACTCGGAGAGTACACATTGAGTAAATTTATGCATAAAATAAAAGAGGAACCAAAGTTGAGCAAACAATCTGATAAAAAGTGTGTAGTCGCGATGTGAGAATATTTTAAACCATATTTGCATCTACGCATTACTTGCGAAAAGGGCGAAATTTAGGAGCTAATATTATTTTAAGGAGGAAGACCAACCTGTGTAGACAGCCCCTGGAATATATTTATCCGGCTTCTCTGGGTCACCACTGATCACGACTATAAAGAAAAAATACTCATCAAAATATAGATATCAGTGCTTTCGCAAATTTCTTCACATAAGTTAAAGTAGTATTTGGTAGACTATAAACAAGCAGAATTTCTTACTCACCTCTAAACCCATTGTCACCCGAAGTCTTGGGCACGCCAACACTATGCGGAGCTCTGTCGCACCATAATCCCTCCACCACAAACCCTTCCAAAATAATCCCTAAAATTATCCAACCAACTTTCACAACTGTTCCATGCATTCTTTGTCTTCTGATTTGCATCCAACCAAGATGGTGACGATAATGTTCTCTCCTCTTTACTCCTACGCAAGCTACTTCGGTATGTATAATTCCACCACAACAATACTAACACTCTGTATAGCGTCGCGTTCCGTCCTCGCACCACTGTCTCTTTAGAAAGAGTGCGGTGCAGTTACTTAAAATGCCTTTGTTTTGTCCTGATTTTCTGCTGTACGTTTCGTGCTAATTAGCCGACTTAAATGGTCACCAACTTAAATTGTCCGACGATTAGGGAAGGACAATTGTAAGTCCTGCCGAGAAGGATGATGATGATTAAAAAGATTCAACTAGAAAACCACTCTTAATCCTTTTCTCTCTTGTTAGCAGCAACCCTGTCCCCGTCGTCGTCGTTGTTCTTTCTGAGCTGATTTCGTTACCGCAACTGCCTGGAAGGAACTTCAGAGCTCAACTAACGTGGAAACGAGAAAGCGCTCGCCTAATATGCGAGTTCGTGGCTTTTGGACTAATCTTCCACTCTTGCATGATTTTCTCGACTCTGCTAGAATTACTTTGCACTTTTCCATCTGCTCACTGTCTTCTTCTTTGGGAAGTCATTAAAAAGACGTGTGTATTTCACACGTCCATTTACTCGCATCCATTTCATTGGCAAACTATAGAAAAGTGTTCGGAGGTGGTGTGTACGTAAATATGTATGTGTAGCAGTAGGTAACGGAGATCTGTCTGTATGCGAATTACTAAATATAGTTAAGGCGTGAATCTGTTAAAGAGAGTTGTGATTTGATTTTCGTCTCTCGTCACCTTTCTGACATCGCCACATATCTTGGCAGGGAGTCCGTGAGATAGTAGTGTGAGCCAATACTTTCCATCGTGTGGTGCGTCATTTTCGCCTTGTTTGTCACTTTATACTTTACACACGTCAATTGATGGAAAACATAACCACCACTCTACTCGTTGACTTATTAATCGTGGTGGTAGGTATCAATGAGCTGTTGAATAACAAGGTTAAAAAATGTGACCCGAGGTGGAAGAATTTTGACCGTAGTAGTAATACAAGCAGTTCTTTACATCATGTGCATATAAGTACGTACACATATGTATGCACATAAGATGAGACATTACGACGCAACGTAACATATTAACACAGATTTATATCACATTGTACATACGTACTCATAGATATCATGTCATTTATGGCATCACAAAATTGTGCCTGCTTGCCGAAAAATAATAAACTGCGAGACCATCTACTACAACTGAATGTCCAATACGTACGTAAGTAATAAACGGGTGAAAGACGAGACATGAAAGAAAAAAGGAGAACCTCATGCACTTAAATGTGTATGTGCTTTTTTGCATGCTTTATATACGGTTCTTCTACCTCAAAGATACATGGACGCAAGAGAGTGAGTTGTTGGGTAATATTTTTTCTTATGCGTATCACGTTGACTGTATTATGAGTCTGATTTTGTTATCAAATATTTTGCCAACTTTGTGCACATACGGCTTAAATTGACAACAGAGTAAAGAAAATTGCTATTGATTTTGAAGTCTTATATGCAATGCATAGAGTCTGAAAACACTCAAGGTTGTCATGTACTCGTTGTGTTGGTCGGATAAGCAATGTGATGTATCACGCTGATTGAACCGCTTTTGTTTCAATGCACTTGAGTTGACAGGATACCTAAACTGGGAGAAGCCCCACAAGTGGTGGTATCATCAACACTGGGGGTGATGCTTGTTTTCGCATTTCCGATTTTGACATTTGCAGAAACATTATTATCCTTTCCACTTCTTCCTCCTCTGCTCTGCCACTTCTTGAGAAACCCGTTGTTGGCATATTTCGGTTCGGGAGGAGGAGGAGGAGGAACAACAACGTCTTGGAGATGTTCACCTAGCTGCTGGTGAAGATAAAAATAGATGATGTTCCATTTCAAACATAATGTGATGTGAGTTATGCGCTTACATTCCTTGCCAATCCACTCATGCCCCACAAAGTATAGAATAACACTCATACGTTATCAAATTATTAATCACTCTGCCCTTGTCTAGCTGTCATGGCTTGTCATTTCAGCAATAAGCTTTCCTACACATATTACCAAGGAAGTTCACTCGACTATGGCAATCCTAGAATAATTTCTTTACTAATGCTGACAGAAGTTGCTATTAATTATCAACTTCCCTCCAGCATAAACTTCCCAGGAGTGAATGTCGGTATTCAGCAAATCTTTGTCGTCATACTTATCGGCATTCTCTGGGTGGGGGGAAGCAAGATTATGGATGGGAAACTGTCGTAGATCTAAGCCTATGTTTTCATAACAAGTACTTTTTCCTTCCATATTGCGGACATAATTTTGTTATACAACACTCCTTTTAATGTTTACAAAATACTACATAATTTTGATTTATTTATTTGATAAGCATAATCGTTGAGCAGAAGATCAAACATCACTAAATTGAAGTATGCAAATAAACTACAACACCAAAGTGAGTTTGTTTCGATCGCACGTCGCGAGTAGGTAAGTAAATGACGGAGAGAGCGACGCCATTAAATCATATCTCGCGATTTTAGCAACTCTCAGCCTGGTAAGCACTTGCATTGTCAGATAATACAAAACTTTTCTCGATAAATTCCGAGGTGGAGGCAAAATCTAAGCGAGACAAGAGAATCCCAAGGGACTCAAATCAGTTGGACAGCAGCAGCTACGGCGTGCAAAATACTCAAAGATCCAGGATTTATCGGAAGGGAGCAGAAGTAGAAGAGATGAGTTGAAGTCTGACTCGACAGAATACATTCGAAAATGATCCCAGGATTGGCAAAACCGAAAGTGTCGAGGGACCCTGTTTGCCAATGCTCAGCTCTCTAAATTTTTACCCGTCTTGTCCATTCTGAAGGTTTTCTCAACTTGCCTCATGTCCCAAAAATGACTAAATCTATCCGTGCTATTGGGGTCATTTGCTCCCTAATTACAAACCAACTTGAGACTAAAGTTGCCAATTTAGTATTTGCAGATATCTTATTTGCCAATCCTCTCAGTAAAGATTCAACCTTATCACCATCATCACTTTATTTTAAACTCTTCTTTCCCTACAACATAGACACCAACCAACCACCAACCAACTAATACTCTCGGGATGATGGGAGAAGAGTGAACCGATTTAAGCATATTTTTCTAAACTAACTTGCTTCAATTCAATGGGCTCCCTTTATTGTTATGTGTGCTTTGAAAAGACTTTTTCGCCCAGGAAAGAGCGAGTATTAAAGAACACCACGCACCAAGTCAGCTCTGTTGAACTCCACAAAATCCAAAACTGCCCAAAATGTGCAAACAGGATTCGCATTTCTCTTTCTCTTCTTTCAACCATAAACCTCAACTCTTCTCCATCTCCAATCTGCATGTTTGCGTGGTGGTCGATTGTACTCCAACCTTACAAAATCCGATTTCCTTACTTTGTGGCCTTTTTGGGATAGAAAACCCGTGGATCCGTTGTGCCATTTGAATTTCTCAATATGTATGTATTCTTCAAATGGTTGCGACACGTTTCCCGTGAAAAATAGCAACACAAGTCTTCGAATAGTTGCGAAATGACTTTTTTCATTTCAAATTAATTGATGTCAAGGATTGGGACATCCTTAATTGACGAAATCATGAGTTTTATAATGTTTGACGGAAGGAAACTTTTTGTTTATTGTGTAAAGAAAAAAAAGTTTTCATGATGAGTGTAAAAGTTATAATTCAGGAAAAAATAATTTAATGAACTTTGGATTGCATGATGAACAGTTCTAAATAGGGATCTCTCCCTTCCTTCCTTTGTTCCAACTTGTTATGAGAAATGGGATCCGAGAAGATAAGTTTCAGCTAAGCTATATATGTATGTGCTACAGATTTATGTGTATGAACAGACGCTAAGTTGAAAGGAGACAAACTTTCTTAGGCCAAACTTTTCCATTAATTCCTTCAATGTAAATCATAACATACTATGCAAAAGTTTTAAGAAGAAGAGGAAGATGGTGAAAGTAAGGATAAGTGGACCCCATCACCCAAAGTATTCAGGCCAACGCAGATTTATTTATTTTTTATAAATATTTTCAATTTTTATTAGTTAACCAACCTTCACAATATGTGACGATACATATGTATGCATGATACTAAAAATAAAGTTTCACAGTTCGTTCTACTTGATACATACATTATAAAACAAAAGTATTTGTATTCATAGGAAGTGTCAAGACATATATATATATTCATGTATAAGTACGATATTGTTAAGCTCATATCACTGTGTACCTTACGCATGTCGATATCTTCAGAAGATATGCGAAGAGGAAGCGTTGCGTTGCTGTGTCATCATTCTTGTGAACACTTTGGGGTAAAGAAACCCTTGAACTAGAATCACTTAATGTATATCTCGGACTTTTGTACTCGTGGGGCAATAGGAAGGAGCTAATAATAGTCTTTTCAGTCTATGTAAGTATATATTGAGTAGTGAAGCAGCATTTCCGCCCCGTGGTCAATTTCTTCGCCATTATTTATCGGCTTTCCCTATGATACGGGGACAGAAGAGTCCCATCTTGATGTAGGGGACACAATTCTCACCTATATATACTAGCACGTGATATTTTCAAACTAAAAATTGGTCATGGCCTGACAGAATATCACAAAAAAAATAATATTGTAATCTATAGACCTGCTGGAGGACTGAAAAGTGATACTAAGTCAAAACAAATGGACACATTTACATTATAACTGCAATAGTAAATGGCATTTCAAGACACTACTGGATCAAAGTATAGTGACTAAGAGACATTAGATAACAAATTAAGAGAAAATAATCATTGAGGAAAGACCGTACAGTACTGTTGAATGGAAACTGGTACTGAACGAAAAAAAGAAAGGTAATAGGCTAAATAATATTAAGAAAATTAATAGTAAGACGAAACCTAAGGAATATAAACTAAATGACACACAAATTTTTGAATAATAAGAGAGTTAGTTGTACATGATTCACAGCCAGCCGAACTGTATGGCACGACAGTGTCTCTTCATGGAAACTTACCTGGTACTGCGAGGACTTATTGGAATGTGTTGAAACTTGCAGTTTTTGGAGTTACAGTTGCTGTTAACGATGTGCGGGCACACGATACCTCTACAGTTGAATTTACTGCGAACAAAGGAGTTAAAAATCATTATTGAGTTCTACACTTTGGTTAAACTAAACAAGGTTGAAGAGATTGAAATCACCTTAACACGATGGAATTTATCAGGCAGGACACGTATGGAACAAACTTGCCGTTATGCTCTGCGTCTAAAGTTACCATAAGAGTAGCAGGTAAAGGGGTATCCGTAAATGTGACATGCCTATCAGGTGCTAAACAATGTCGGGTAAGACAACCGGCAATAAAGCCACCAGTTTCTCTCGCAGACGTTTGGGAATTTTTGTCAGGTATATTTTTTGTAGATGCAAGACTGGATCTGAAAAAAAAAATTAGAATTTGTATTCAAATTAACTTTACCAAAACTTGAGAAAAAACAGAACCTAATGTCAGAACACGGAGTTGTCGGTTCAGCTACTTTATGGCCTTCTAGCGACGTTATTATTTGTTCTTCTAATTTCTTGAAGTTAATTGGGCCTTTCTTTAGTTCGTCATTTGTCGTAAGCTTGTAAATTTCTTTAAACTTTGTCAACATATCACCAGCCCCCATGGACGGAATTTTATATAAATCACCACTTAGTTCACTTCCCAACTTTTTACACTCAATACCAAAAGTGACTGATTTAGCTCGCATGTCAAATGCTTTCGAAATTGTAGATACTGCATCTGAATGCAGTTCAGCTGCTTCAATCTTTTTCACATACAAGCTTCTTTCTGCCACTTGTAGCTGCTTTTTTAGTTTCTCAACTTGCTGTTCGATACGATTGCACTGAACTTTCTTTTCGGATTGTAGATTTATCGTATCTATCGCACATCCTAAGAGGTGTGTTGCAGATTTTCTGAAAACAAGTTACAAAAATAATGAAATCAATCAATCCGTATCGCAATTATTGTTATTTTAATTATTCACGATATTATTGTGAACAGACCTAGACGTTAGAAAATCTTTTTCAGTCATAGTTAGCTTTATCTTTATTTCACTCTTCTTGAACGTTGCTCTTAATATTTTTTCTCGGAGTTGAAGCTCTTCACGGGTACGAGTAAATTGATCAGCCTGAAAAACATGCGCAACAAACAAGTATCTAGTTTCATTTAATCTAGTTCTACAGAAAATAACCAATCACATACCAAGCTTTCTCCAGTGTTGGCTTCTTTTCGACGTGTCTTTAACGACTTCCCGTTTGTTATTGAAGATGTTGTAGAACCAGGATTTTTGGATGTGGGTGATGCTAAGAACCAAAACAGGATCAGTCAGTGGACTACGATTCAGTTTTATAAGGCATGCAAAAATAATAGTATTATGCATACCTGCTTGTTTAACATTGCTGCTGGTACTGCTGGTGGTATCATCCTGTGATCGCAGGGCTGCATCTACTTTCTCCATAAATGAGACTTCTTTAGCTATTTGAGTGGTAGTGCTAGTTTCCTGAACTTGTTGCTGAATGTTTTTTGATTTTGGAGGACTCGATTGCACTTTGTTTTGAGGTGTTACAGGTGAGATCAAGGGTGAACTGAGTTTTAATTGATATGGAGAATCAGCAGATCCATGCGAACTGCTTGCAGAGGCATTATCCTGTGGTGATGACGAACTTTCAGAATTATTTGTATCGTCAATTATACTGGTAGAATTGGAAGCAGACGAGTGAGAAGTATTGGTTTGTTCAACAGTGATCAAGTCGGAAGCACTATTAGTTGAGGTTGATGTCACATTTTGAACACCATGGAGAGGTGGAATTTCGAGATTCCGCTCTCGAGAAATTCCGGTGTCCTCTACAATATTAGATATTTTCCTGGTAGCATTAGTTTCTACCCTTACCGTTAAACTTTGAGGAAGAGTATTATTATTATTGACATTAGTGGGGGATAAAGTTTTATGCATCAAAGTATCTACTGGAGCCTGATTACTTGTACTATTCTTTTGAAACAGATTTCCACTAACTCCATTCTTAGTTGCACTTTCTCGTACAGATTTCAAAAACTTGTCCAAAGATGAATGAAATTCCTGTGGCAGGTTTGCCGAACTGTTTTTTAATTCTTCGTCCTCGTCATTATCTTCCTCTTCTGTTGATTCGTCATTGTTACGTAACTGGATCACAATAGGTTGAATTTTTTTCCCGACTGCAGACATCCTGTCAAGTGCCTGATGGTAACTTTTCTTTGAGCTATATTTTGATTTGAATGTGTTTGGCTTCATCGGGGTCCGGGGAATTACGAATTCGTTATTGGGGAGGAGCGAGGTATGTTTCGAAGCTACAGCACTTTTGTGAGAAAAGGGGGTCATTTTATTAGAGAGTGAACATTTCACACTAGAATTTTGCTTGGTAAGAACTTTTTGAACCCCCGAAGAAGAAACTGTGACTTGCTTCCGCTTTATAGGTGACAATGATTTCCCTCTTTTATTATTGACCCTTTTGTTTTGGGCATCAGAGGAAGAACTTGACTTTTTAACCGTCTCTTGAGTAGGAGTACTTTGTTGTGGAGTAGTTGTATTAGGCTGAACATTAATTGATAGAGGAGCTGGTTCCATCAAACGCACTATCCTATGCGGATTAGTAGACGACGGGGATTGAATAACAATAGGAGCCAAAGGGGATTCAATTGTTGTGGGCACATTTGCTTCGCGAGAGACGACTGTCCTATGTTTTCCATCTTTTGAGACCGATATGGAAATTGTAGACATGTTCATGCTACTTAGAGCTGAAGAAGTAGTCGAAGACTTGGAAGTTGATTTGGAAGTGGAGGCTTTTATTGAACTTATTGAAGATCTACGGGTACGATACGCAGAAGATGACGAATGAGTGAAATTATTGCGGTGGGTCGAGTTTGAAGATGATTTCTTATTTCCAGAAACTCGAGCAGAACTGGATCTACTAGTAGTGCGATCTCTGGATTTAATCGATTTAGATTTAGAAGAGTTATTTGTTGGTCTAGTCTTAATTTGTTGTTCTTGAGCTGCTTGCTTCTTATTTTTATGCTTTGCCAAATCAGACAGCAATTTTCTTCTAAGGAGATCAAGTTCCAACTCAATTTCGTTCTCTTTTTCGTTGTTGTCAGCGAAAGCTGAGGAGAAGGTTGATTCTGCTACGTCAACTTGTTTCTGAGAAGCACCATCAGAGTTGTGGGTTAAATTGGCATCAACAAGTTTTGACTCTGAATGTGTTACATTATCATTTTGTATCACGTTGTTTATAATCGTTACGTGCTCCAACGGTTGCGACGAAGGAAACGCTTGCATTAATCCCTTCAATGCCTTTATCCTCAACTCGAGAACTTCCAAGTCCTCCTCATCGTCTCCTTCTGATGAAATATTTACAAGACTTGTGTTTTCAACTTCTGCTTCGTTTGTGTCCACGATAGGAGGAAGTTCATTCTGATCACTAAGAGAAGGCTCAACGACTTGATGCAAGCTTGTATCGACCAGCGAGGGGGTGCTAACTCTTGTAGAACTTGTTGAACTGTCTTTCGCGACAATCAAATCCAAATTTGTAGCAGTATCAAGTAAACTTACAGAATTAGATGATAGGTCATCCATTGATGACGTACTCAATTGAACTGGCGAGACTGGAATTATACTTGGTACTGTAGCGAGGGAGTGTTCAAGGAGGTCCGGATTAAAATCGTCAAAATCTGTGTCCGCTTCCTCGGATTCAGAACTTGATGTTGAATCTATCACAATTAACTCTGCTATTCGGGATGATTTGTCTATAATTGACAGCACTTCAACTTCATTGTCTTCCTCCTCAATTATATTTTCTTGTGGCAGTTGATTTTTCTCTTGGTTCATTGAATTTACTTGGGTTTGGTCAGGCGAGAGTGGAGGATCACAATATATAATCACGCGTGTTTCTTGCATCTTCGCTAAGGGATTTTCTACCATTTGTGAAACACTATTACGCATCTCACTTTCAATAGCACTATGAATATTTTCTGACGCTCTTCTTCTTCTATAGCTGTGATTTGAGAAATTTAATGACGATGAGCCATTTTCGGATGGACCAGGTGCTTCTAAAAATATTGTGAAATTAAAAGCCATTACTTTAAAATTGCATAAAACAAATAAAACAGGAGTGAGTAAAACCAAATAAAGAAAAGTATCAATTATATTCTTACCTTTCCTATATTTATGAGCCTTTTCATCGTAATTTGAATTTCTTTTGCTACGAGTATTATTACAATGACTACGATTTCTATTATCACTGGATGATACTGTAGAACTAGACTTATAGTTGATTCCTCCATCTCCGGATTTCAATCTAGTCCTGGAAGTAAAATGTTCTGAAGATCGTCGTCGATATTGGTGACGTATATCGACTTGACGGGATGAAGAAGACGAAGATGGTGGTCTTCCTCTTGTATCCGTACTACGTCTCATCATTCGCCTCCTTTTGTGACCATATTGACGTTCTGGATCGTCATCATCTTCATCGCTCAGTGGACTAAGACATTCAGACTCTCGTATTTCTCCTTCTTCCACGTCAGACGCCATTTTTGGTGTGAATGTATTCCTATAAAAAATTGAAATAAGTATAACGAAATTCAATTATGCGTTTTGTAGTGTAATGTAACTCAATTCTACTTCCATTCGAACCATTACTTATGCTTCATAACTTACCCCCCATACAAATACACCTACAATAATATAAAAAGTAGAAATATAAAAGTAAAATTAATTGTGCTCGCCTGATTTTGAACAGGAACGGTTATTCAATTACACATTAACTTTTTTAAATCTTTCTTTCCACATTTCTTATTCTTCTTTTCGATTAAAGTTACAATATCTATGGGCAATACGCTTAATGCATTTGAGTCATTGATAAATATTTGTCTCCACTATCTTAATTTTGAGTCACAGTTAAAAGTCGACGCGACCCGACCCACCACCGTACTCTATTTTAAACAAAGTTAACCAAAACACAAAACCAAAAGATACAAGAACCAGCTAGCAAGGAAGCAACCTGACACCAAAGTGGCAGTACAAATTTAAGAAATTGTCCAAAACCAAATTAGAATGTACATGAAATTTAACAAAACTACCAACTTCCAAACCCCAGAGACCAAGAAATAACGACAAGAAGGTAAAAAGTAATTGAAAATAGTTAAGATAGACGACAGAACTTTTGTGAGTGAATAGTCAGTCACTGGACCAAATACTGTAGCAGAACTATGAAGTTGATGAGTAGATAAATAATTATTTAATCATTAATTTGTGACGATGTACACTGAGATTTCTTACGATTAGACGAAGAATTAGACCAGTATAATATTTCACCATAAAAAATCAAGTCCAGCAGCAGGCAGGACGAGAGAGAAAGGTGCTCGAATCGAGCTCTGAACCCTGCGCCAGCATCTCACCCTGTGGCCAACAAAGTGCTGAAGATGGGGAAAGTGCAACATAAAAATCATCAGCATAAATGAGAATGAGAGTAAAGATTAACTGCAGTAAAATTGAGATTGGAACTGCTGGCGTAGCATTAATTGTTTATCTTATCATCCTTTATAATACGTATCAGAATTCAAAAGTGGATCATGCTTCTCTAGAATATTCGACCGAATTGTTTCTCCTCACTGGATGCCATGATCTGCTTCTGGTAAAGAAGATTGAATTCATTTATGAAAGGTGCAAAGCGTGCAAAGTTTAGGAATTTTTGTATCAGCATTTGCCATATTTTAACTGAGGTCCTTGCTGTACATATGATATGATTTAGAAATTGACACTCGTCCGTCCATTAAAAAAGTAAAACTTTATAAATTCCATGAGATTAGCTCATATTTAAGTACAAAATATTTTTTACCTCTTCACAAAGGGTACATTCTTGCAAGTCACTTCCCAAAAAGTTTATGTTTTGTTTTATCTTAACCTTGAATGTTAGTGCAGTTCCCTAAATTAATTATGACATAATTCATGGCACAATTTATTTATTTGTTGAACCAATGTTTTGGAACAATTGCGTAATCGAGACTGAATTTAAGTTTGGGTTGTACTTGAAAACTTGCCTTCACTTCATAATAAAAACTCCATTGTGTTATTAAAAAGAAATAAATAAAACATTCGAGTTGTTGAACCATACCATATCATACATCTCTTATCCCCGTGTAGTGGTGGTTCGTGACGATCAATTGTTGACGTTGGTGGGTAATACGTCGGACGATAATGGCCATGATCACCATTGTCGTTGATATTGTTATTTGGTCGAGGAAACTGATTCCCAGGAGGAAAGTTTCTAAACATAATGACAACTTAAGAACAATGTAATTTAACAATTCAATTTAACATTCACCAAGGAAATGGGTTGCCCCCAAATAATTCTGTTCGGGTTTATCGTTTTAGAACAATAGAACATACACTATTCTTCTTAAAATATATTACAATATATACAAAATACACAGCCTTTCTTGATGTTGGAAGAGAGTACTACATTATTAATAATAATGTATAATAATTTATTATACATCGTTAACTAAATGTTTCTTGACCAAGCGAAAAATTTAGAACTTGTGGATAGATTTGTACATACATCCGCTGATTATCTAATCTGTAGTAAAGTAGTGACCATGAAATGAAGGAATAATTGTCACAATTTTTTACAATTAACGATGTATAAATATTGGAAGTGATACAAAGCTAACAAAAAAAATATTATTTGGATTAAACAAAAGGTGTAGTTCACAGAAAAGAATTCGCACACTGGCTGATAAACCATGATCATGCTAAAATTACTGCTGGCAAGAGTCACGTTTATGTACATACTCAATGGCCTTGTGCAAAATATCACTTTTACTATACTAATAGCACGGTTACTTACTTACATACTACGCATTGCTCGTCAAAATCACTGCATTTTGCTCTATCTCATCTTTGTTGTAGAAAAAAATCTCAATGCATGCTGCGTCAAATGAATGCAATTAAGTAGTTCTGTTACTACTGCTATTTGTATGGCGTATATTAATAGCGTATTCATAATGATGTTGTATTCTAAACTTCCTATACATATAGCAATTAGTTTAAGGTGGTTTAATGGTCTTTTTGCAAATGTTTAAACTATTTACTTGTTTTTTTTATTTGGTTTACTTTCTATATACAACCATAATCAATGAAAATATGATTAAATAAAGTTAGTAAGATCCAATCTATCTACTGCAGAATTATGTAGCTAATCAGATACTTAAAAATAGGGGTAAAATTAGAAATGTATGTAAATGTTTAAAAGTTGATGTTCGATGTTGTTTGCATTTTTGAATGTCCCCTGTACCCGTATCATCTATTCTTTCAGTTAAGTTTATGTCAAACAGATATAATATTACTTAAAATATGCATGCTTCAGTAAGCAATGTTCCAAAATTTTTGAAAATTTATAACCCCAATTTCTCCTTGAAGGTGGCAAGTTCAGCCAGATTCTCATCCCTCCAGTTGCGCCGTTCTGGCAATTTATCATTTGGCACCATGTCTTGGAGTTGTCGGTCAATTTCTTGGCAACTGTCCTCCGTCATAAGAGGGATTCCACCCATATCTTGGGACACGTCATTGATGACTTGGCCATAACGTTTGCAGTAGTCTTTGAATCCATCCGCATTGAGGTGAGCAGTTTCCAGCGGGCCCAGAAAGACATATCTGGGGGCGAGGCCTTCCTTCATGACGATATCGGCATCCTCAACGCTCAAAATCCCGTCCGTAACCAAACGCCAAGTCTCGTTCAATATGGCATACCTGTAAAATTCAGTTACTGAAAATTTTCGAAACTCCCATATTTTGTGGTCTTACTGGACTCGATTTAGTGCAAATCCGGGCAGTTCTTTATTCATGACGATTGGCTTCATCCCCAAAGAAGTGAGGAGGGCACGCACATGAGTAGTCACATCTGGTTTCGTCCACTCGGATGGAACCAATTCAACCAATTTTACAAAATATGGAGGGTTGATCTAAGTAAATTCAGGAAAATATGTCATCAAGAGTTGATTTAAAAGACATGCAAATTCTTAACATTTTTACAGGATGAGCAATCAACATTCGGTCCTTGATGCCGTAATTGGCAATAAACTTGGACGGCATGATGGTTGACGTGGAACTTCCAATGTACGCTCTCGTGTTCCCAACTTCATTTAAGGCCTTGTCAATCGATTCAAAAATTTTCACTTTCCACTCAAAGTTTTCTGGGGTGCATTCTTGGATATATGTGGCACCATTTACGGCATCAGCAAGGCTTGTAGCAGCTAAATATGTATGCAAATTGTTTTAAATCGTCAGCACGTATCAACTTATCAGTGGAGTATTGTTGGCAATTTATATTTACCCGTAATCAGCTTGCACTGTTCGGTAGCGTTCAGCTTATGAGCCTTCAATTGGCCCTTCGCCTCCAAGGCGTGCAATTTGTCATGAATAAACTTTGGAGTACCGGCCAGGACTTCGGGTATACTGTCAAATAGTCGAACTTCATGTCCACCGGATGCAAACAGCATTGCCCAGGATTTACCAACGAGCCCACTGCAAGAGCATTTAAATAAATAATGTCATTCATTATTTATTATTTATTTTTAAATATTACTATTGTTACCTTCCCACAATCGCGACAATTTCTTTTTCCATTATTATATTTCTTTTTAGAAATTTGAATGCAGAAAAATAATGTGTAGCTCGCTGGAAGTTGATAAACGGAATGAGACAAATCCTAAGAAGATGATACGTGAAATGTACTTGTTGTGTGTGGTATTTGGTCTTTTGGTATGTAAATCGTTAAGTTGACGCTGTGCTCGACTGGTTCTTCTTCAAGGGCTTCCACTTCAATCAACTCGAACTCGCTGGAATAATACTGAAATCAACATGAAATCAACATATTTTCCAGCTCCAGTCAGATTCAGAGATAAACAAGATTGGGATCGGGGATGGTCTCGACAACGAGAAAAATTTAAATTCATTTTTTTGACAGAGATTGAACATCTTCGCCTCCATCCAAACTTACCAAACTGAGCCAGCGTAAGGAGGACAATAATATTTGGATTTTAATCCTGCATCATAAACAAAGACACAGAAGAGATGCGCTTATTATTACTGAAAAATGTTTCCTACTCAATGTCACCAATTCATGGCCGGTCAAACTATGCTGGAGAATTTTTTAGAACTATGTAGATAGTTAATTGTAAACGTGTTTCCTTCTGAACCTGAGCCAATAATGAGTGTCTACTGCGGAATTTATTATACACGAAGTTAAACTCATGATAATCGAAAGCATATTTATTTTACAAAGCTGAAACTTAAATGTGTTACGATATAATATTATCATAATATAATATTATATCATATCGCCCAAGCAAACCAATTATTCCTTGGCTTTTTGGAGTTTCCTACTTTTGACTTTTAACTGCTTAACCGAATAATAACCACACAAAGATCAAAGGGATATATGCCGTCATAAATTTATGATGTGTGGCAGACAGATAAAAATGAGACTTTATGTATATTAGTTAAGCATTATAGTCTCGATCCTTCTCTGCCAAATTATATAAACGGGGGTAATAAAATTTTGCAAATATTTGAGATCCCCTTTAGCGGAGAAGAATATTAGCTTAACTATGAGTTCAAAATGGTGTCACATTTAACTCTATTTTAAATATATGAAACACTACAAATCGCACTCCTTGTATCAATACTGCGTGCGAAAATCAAGTCCCTTTTATAATTATGTTGGTCTCATGATCATAATCCTTTTCCATGACCGACATGATAATAAAACATAAAAGTGACCATGTACAAGTTTCACAAGTCGGAAATTTATAAAATACGCAGACATATCAAATTAACATGATATATTATGATTCATATTTATGAAGCTTAGTGTTCATGAGAAAGTAAAATGATACTGCAATTTCACAGTAGTCGAATTTCGGCGACGTTAGCACAAAATTCGGAACGATTGAAAAATCTATTAACAGGTTGTTGCGTGATATACTGGAAATCCATATATGTAGAGAAATGTGAGACGAGATTCTAGAGATTCTTTCTCTAGAAACTTTGCAATGTGTTATCTTCAACATTGAAATGAATGCGTGATGACATGAAATTAATGGTTCGTCAATTTTTAAATGATTCGAACAAATTGTCAATACATTTATGATGAATTCATAGCACTAATTCTGCTTGAAGTGCAATTTTTAACGAAAAGTCTCATCAATGAAACTCGTGGAGGGTAATTTCTTCAAAGCTGAAAGCGGCCGACACGCAACTTGCACATTTTACATTTCATTCCATCTCCCTAATTCTTCTATTTCTAGAAGCAGAATTTTAATTTCCATCCAAAAATATTTAGAAATTGTCTACATAAATTTTGTATTTGTGTTTGTGGTCATTTAAATGGTGACTGAGGGGAAAGATATTTTATTTTTTCTCGTAAATTTGTCAATCATACTTTATACTGCATCCGCAGCAGTAAATTTCCGAAACATTTTTATAGCTGATTAGCTTCACATTAATCATGGCTTTAGCTTCGTCATCTCGTGACGATAAGGCAGAAAAGCCGGAAATACTACCAATGTGCTTGGCAAAAAATAGGTAACGAATTACATTGACTTTATAATTTAAATTCTGAACAAGGTAATAATTTGTATATTTCTTGTATCATTTCAGTTTCCTTAAAGAATTTGGTGGTAAGGACTATGCCACCGTCAACATGACAGAGAAACGCTACGCCCCCATCGTTTTGAAGAAAAGGCTGAAAAAACTGCTGAAGACAAGTGAACCGGTCGAAGAGTATGATCAGGATGGAAACACGATCATCTTAATGGGCGAAACTGGATGTGGAAAGTCCACCCAAGTTCCTCAGATCGTCCATCGATATTTGAAGAAAAAGTTTCCAAATACGAAACGGACATGTATTGCAATCACTGAGGTATGTGTGCATTTTCCCCAAATATTACTTTGTCTGACGTTTTTGGTTTTGTAATTAAACTTGTGTTTCACACGACAATTTTAGCCTCGAAGATTAGCTGCGCTAACTCTGGCGGCCCGAGTAAATGAAGAAATGAAGTCAACTATTGAAGGAATTATCGCCCACAGTGTTCGATTTGATACTAATTTTTTTGACCGTACGAGAATCCACTTTCTTACTGAGGGAATACTTCTTCAACAAATTATGGCAGACCCATTCTTGCTCGGCTATCATGTCGTCATTGTGGATGAAGCACACGAAAGATCAATTGCCACGGATTTAATTTTGGGCCATCTAAGGAAACTGGTGTATTATAGAAATAAAGTTGCAAAAATGATGGAACGAGAGCTTTTTAAGTTGAAAGTAGTTATTATGACGGCTACTGGTGAAGCATCTACTTTGCAAAGCTATTTCCCTGGGTAATAACCACAAGTTTATTTTAATACATAGTGTAAGTATTCAGATTCATGGTTGAATTTTTGAAATATTCCTTTGCTAGATCGAAAGTTCTATTTATTGAAGGAAGAACACATCCCGTGAAAATTAATTACCTGTCACCTTCAAGCCAAAGTGATGACTATCTTTCATTAACGGCAGCGACCGTGATGAAGTTGCATAACGAGCTACCTGTCGAGTAAGTACTTCGACGTGGATGATGGGATGATGTGCACATCATTGTTTTGAAAATAATATTTTTTCATGATCATTTTTATAGTGAACATTTCTTGGTATTCTTGACTGGACAAGAAGAGATTGAGGGTGTGGTGAAGCAACTTAGGGCGACAAACCATCATTTTCACGTATTTGTGTGCCCGTTGTACGCCGCATTGCCAAAGAAAGCACAAGAAAATGCATTTACGATTCCACCCTACGGAACTAGAAAAATTGTTGTTGCAACAAATATTGCGGAAACGTCATTGACAATTCCTGGAATTAAAGTTGTAATCGATTCTGGTTTTATCAAAGCCAAGTAAGGCTAATTTTATCTAAGCGACTGCAAGAATATCCGTATGACATGGATATCTCATTATTGGTTTGACTATATATGTATCAACTACTTATTAATAGATCCTACTTGTCGTCGCACGGACTTGAAGCATATCAAGTGCAACACATATCCAAATCTCAAGCGGCACAAAGAGCTGGCCGAGCTGGAAGAGAGTGTCCAGGGCAAGTTTATCGTATGTATCCAAAACAGCATTTTGACAACTTTGCCGACTTCGAAGAACCTGAAATTAAGCGATCGAATTTAACACAACTTCATCTCATGCTTCCTCATTTCTACAAAATTGATGGATCTTTTAAATTTATGGAAGATATTAATCCTGAGGTATAATGTAGCACAGTAAACAAGATGCGACAAATATTATGAAAATTACTGAATATAATGATGGGAATTACTTTTAGATCGCAGTTGACGCTAAGCTTGAATTGGAAGCTCTCGATTTAATAAATCCACTTCAAGATACTAAAGCCATGTTAACAGAACTTGGGAAACGGCTTTCAAAATTCCCCATTGAACCAAAACTAGCCACTGTTTTGTATTATGCTACTGCTCGAGGTGTTCTTGAACAAGCGAGTTCTATAATTAGTATGATGGAAACAGAAAACTTGTTCTTACCAAGCAATGAAGATACTCGATCTCTGGAACTCCAAAAATTTTGGGCACCCGAGGGAGACTTAATCACCTATCTCAACATTTTTACTCAGTTTGTCAAGTCCAAAAATTCCAAAGTTTGGTGTGATAAAAGTCGGATCAGCTTCCGGTATGTTAATTTTTTCACAACAATATCATGATCATCATTTACCTGTTACATATATTGTTGTCTTTTTTCAGTGCCATGACATATGCAGTTCGTGTTCGCAAACAGCTTATTGATCTGATGAAACGCTTTTTGGAGGAAGTTGAAGTTGACTATAAACCTCTACACAATCAAAACATCAACATGACTATTATCCACTGCTTTGGGAAGACAATCCATTGGCAACGGGCAACTATGGACCCAACTGGAAAATACTACCGTATAGAAAACGTCCAAAAAGTAAAACATTCTGACCGCATCAAGAAAAATAGAATTTGGGAAGCCAGAGTTAGAGAAAACCCGGGTTTGTGGAGCTTGGATGCGCCTCCAAAGAAAATATTGCATGCCAAAATCCACCCTTCATCCACTCTAGCTGTAGCTCGGCCATCTGAAATTATTTTCCTAAAAGCCACTCTCAATGAGAAGAACGACCTTTTTCTTCATCATTGCTCAGTCTATGATGAGACAATTGCAAATCTTCGCCACAGCCATAATGAGATTACAATATTCTAAGCACTAAAATCATAAGCATGTGTTATACTGATGGAATACCTTGTATTGCAAGAATAAAAAGTTGAATTTATTACTCGATTGGAAATGTTCTTTTGCAGACATTATACATATTTTAGTACTTATACATAATAGTACTTCTACTAATTGTAAGAATATGTTAGTTCGAGACTAGAATATATACATACATATTCAGACTAGGGTATTAGGGTATATCTACAGAAATATGAAATTTAACAAAAACTAAAACTAATCAACGCTTCCTCTGGAATTTAGAAGTTTTGTCCACAACCGATTTCTGGTGATGGAGTTGGGGGAACAAATGGCCAGACTCTTTTAACGCCGTGGCAGCAGCATTCATTTCGGCTTCTTGAATGCTATGTCCTTCAGTGTTATCAAAAAATGAATTAGTGTATGGTTTAAAGGTGGGATAATAATAATCAAGGGATAATGATACCCTTTGCCGTTGCAAGCCGAGTTCCTCTAAAATACACAGCGACTGTATAGACACGCGTGTTGGTGGGGCCTAATGACTCTGTGACCTTGTAAACTGGAATGTCAGGCTCGCGTCCATCCATAGCTCGAAGTGTTAAGCAACACTGTTGTAATTTGGATTTAGGGTCATTCCATTCTTGCTTCGTAATTGATTCGTTCAACCTGAAGACATATCATTTTAATTTAAACATCATTCAAAAAGGAGAAAACTATTAATTATTTATTTGCTTACCGTGGGAAAAAGCAGATGGAACAGAACGTGGTACAGTATAACAGACCCTTATCAATGTATAAAGCTCCCAGTACTGCCTCCAGCAAATCTGCTCGATCCTTTGTCTTCATTTCTGACTTTGGATCCCTCATCGCATACTGAGTCATCCCAAGATCATCACAAACATATGCTTGAGTGCGATTATTGACCAACGCACTTCTAAGCAACTGAAAGAAACAAGAGTAACTACACGTTATACAAGTCCTCTCATGTTATTTCACTAAGTCATACCGACAAATGCCCTTCATGATGATCTGGGAAATGGCGATAAAGATAATCCGAGGAAATCAGTTGCAGCACCGTATCTCCCAAAAACTCTAGTCTCTGATTAGATCCTCTAAACAAAGTACAGTCCAAGGAAATACAATTAGAATTTTCAAATAACAATGCAGGAGTGTTGACGGAATTAATGTTTTTGCGTACTGAGAAAGGTTATTATATCCTAAGCTACGATCAGTGAAAGCCCGAGCGAGTAATCTTATGTGGGTAAACTCAACCCCAATGCTGTCCTCAAATTTTGTCAGCTTTTGCAAGGCTTGGTGGTGTTCAATCCACTCCCTATCACCGTCTGGTTCTTCTTGTTGCAATGGATGACGAGGATAATTAGCCCATCTCTGGTGAAGGATGTCATCTTCACTGAAGAACGTCTTGGCAAACACACGATCCGACACCTGTGGGTAAATATAACATATATTATTATTTACTTAAGTACAGATTAGCATATATAAGGAAATAAAGTTGATAATTTTCTAAACTACGGTTTTACTTGAATTCCGCCATCCAAAAACAATGCTCCCATTAAAGCTTCGAAACAATTTGCCATGGCATGACGAAGCTCTGAATCATGGCACAAATCACTTCCATGAGCGTAGAGCATATACTGGTCCAAACTGAGTACCTATAAATAAAATAGAGATACATGTTTAAATTTCTGACGACAATTTTGCAACTTCATAAAATTAAACATGCTCGTTTGTGAATAAGCAATAACGAGCTATATGCGGAACAATATCAGTAGCTTAGGATAACATTACGGTACCTTCGCTAAAACTGCCAAATGCTGATTCTGTACAATCGCAGCCCTGTATGTGGCTAATCCTCCTTCTTCCAAGCCAGGGAATAAGTGGAATAAATGAATTGAAGTTACAAACTCTACTACAGCATCTCCAAGAAATTCTAAACGCTCATTATGCGTGATTTCAGATTCCATCTCTTGGTCGGATCCAAATCTACATGCACACACACAAAAAAAACATTTACAAAACATTAATAAACACCAACCAAAATGACAACAAATTAAAAATATAGGTAAGTAATGGTTACTTCGCCATAATGTTGATAAGTGTCGTAATCCCACGTTTCCTTGTAGAGGTGTAATGAATTCTACGATCCCCATATTCTGGCTGTCTTATACCACAATTTGTCAAAGAATTACGTGCATGGTCAGGATTAGTCCCAAAATTTTCTCTGTATGAGGGATGTGTCATGGCCAACTGAAGCAAATAGCGGTTTGTAAATTCATATCGCATCCGAGTCTCAAGGGTACTAAGTGCTTTGTGGAAACGAAGATGAGCCACAAGTACAGGAATTAACATTGCGTGCTGAAATTATACAGATTGTTAGAGCGTATAAACCAATATTCTAATCAACCTTCGCATTAACCAAAACCTTACTTGCACTAAATCGCAGAAAATCCCTGTAGTACGGAATCCTTTCGCCGATATCGCAATTGTTACGTCGCGTTTCATTGTGGAAGCCGTTCGCATTTTTTGTAACTTTAACTCTTTGTTGACCAAAATTCTCTTTTCTTCTGCAGACGGTTTAGCCATGTTGGAGAGTAAGTGGCGATATTTCACATATCTTCTCCATGCTCGCTGATAACTCACATCTCCAGCGTATGATAACTGAGGTGGTCTGATCCCAAAATGAACAAGAAGAGGATATTTTTTCTCGTCTTCAACTTCTGCATCAATTCACAAATTAACATTTTTAATTTTTAAAAACTTTGCAGGAAATAAAGATATTTAGCAATAATAAATTGTCCAAAAAGAAAGCATACCAGATTCATGGCCGCTGGTATCTCTATCAATCTGATCAACTCGTAATGAACATGGTTTTTGCCCAAATTTAGATACAATCATTCCTTTATGCTTATCAGCAAAATTCTGCCATTCAGTCTGAGATTTGGAAAAGTGATCCGGAAGTTCCTTTTCCTTGAATATGTTTCTATCGCTTTTGAGCAAATATAGCATCACCTGTTGAGCATAAATATGTAGACAAACTTAAACATGTACATGACATTACTTACAAAATATTAACGGTATATTACCCTATTCATGGAGAGAATTTCTTTCCCATTATCTGGAAGTTGTCGAACAAATCGTGGCATCAAATGGAAAGGAGCACAACTTCCCTGTTCACCCCAGTCGTACTTTAAATCCAAGAGTTCCAGTATCTCTCGGAATACATAAGTTTCAAAAAGCTCAAGTTCCCTCACACAAAAAGATTCCGGAAACTTTTCTTCAGTAACAAACACGTCGTAGCGAATATTAAACCTTATAACTCGACAAGGCGGCAGCTTAAGATCAATTTTGTAATGAGATAGGAGTGAAAATCCTTCAAAGATGTATTCGTGGCCGTCGTGGCGAATCACGGAGGGTGTTTTCACTAGAAAATTTTTCGCAGGACATATCGTTATGCGGTAATGGTGTAAGGTGTTTCTATTTGTTGAAAACGGAATACATGGTGGGATAATAGACTCGCCAGGGAAATATCCGTGCCTAATACCACACCGTCGTGCTTTCGCACTACAGCGACAAAGGGGACCGTCGTTCATGAGACCAGGATCGTTGTGCCACAATTCGGGATGAAGTCTTCGAGGGTGAAGCTTTCTCTTTTCTAATTCACTGTTGGCAGCACTGCTCTTGGACGATATTTCATCCTCATCTGAAGAATCTTCAGAACTCGAGCTCTCATCACTGCTACTACTACTACTGCTGCTGCTGCTATCCTTTTTGTGACATTTGGTGTCTTGCTTTTTTGATTCCCCTGCACAATTGTCGGAGTTTTTGCCTTTGTGAGGAACAGAGCAATTAGAATTAATTGCCTTTGAATCATTCTTTCCACATTTCCGATCTATATTTGAGTTAGTGCAACACCCACTTTCGTTTTTGTCGCATTTGGATTCTTCAGTATTCACTTTTAATTCCTGAACTGTTTCTTCACAGTCACAAATTTCCCCTTCTTCGTGAGTGCAACAAACAACTGGCTGATCTAAGGGAGGTTTAGATTGGGATGAATCTTCTACCAGTGCTTGAGGATCCTCTTTAGATGTTGCCGATTTTGACAAATCCTCTAAATTCTTTGGTTTTGAATTACCTTTAGAACATGTCTTTGAACATGCTTCGCCCAAGTGTGCCTCTTTTTTCTGCTTCTTTGCCTTCAACTCAATCTCTTCATTTAGTTCTTCAAACTTTATAAATCCTAACTTTTCGGCTTCTAGACGTGCAGTCTCCGCCTTGAGCAGCAGCCTCTTTTCGAACGTATCACAAAGGGTTTTAGTTGCATCAGTCGCACAAAAATCCCTGCAACATACATATTGATTAAATAACCATTAGTCATTCATATTCTCAGATCGATTATTTATTAGTTCCTACTTAATTATCTTACCCATTTTCTACCCTGGTATAGTACATTTCATCTGGTGCAGATCGAGTCCATTTCTCGACCTTCAGATCGTCCAAATCTTGATCTGATGAAGCATCCGAACCATAATTTCTATCATCTTGTGACTTGTCACTTATTCGTTCATTTTTCCTATGGGAATCTCTGCGAGGCGATCGCTTTAGAATATTATGTCCTGTTCTTCCTGCTCCCGAGCTGCTCATGGACTTGTTTCTACTACTCGTAGCAGAGCTGCGGTTATCTCTGCCAGACTGCGGGTACCTTCTACCACTGCTGCTACGGGATTCATGTCGACTGTGTTGCTTATTTCCAAACCGGCTATCTCTGTCTCTGTCCCGGTCTCGGTCCCATGAATCCCGTCTTCTTGAATTTGAGGATGTGATTCTGGTATCAGCTCTAGACCGTGATTGCCGATCTACAAATCTTGACCTACTCACTCCCCTGTCCTGACAATCCCGACTGTGGCCATCACGGTCACGGCCTCTCACTTTCTCTGATTGTCTGTCAGCATAGTCGTCCCTTCGCCTATTCATTCTGCATGTACACAAATCTCAGACTTACAATTTCTTACACTAACCAAATGAATAGTTTTATTGTAATATAGGAACCAAACTTACCCGAAATTTTAGCGTATAATTAAATTAAATTAAATTAAAACCCTTGCAGTCTTGGAGTTTATTTTTAAGTTCCCTGTCTCGTGATAAATGGCACGAAATTCTCATTCGCGGGAAGAAATCTGCACATGGCCTCAAACTAACCTCACATCACACAAATGCTTTTTGAGTTTCTGAGAATTAAAATTTTTTAAATTTAACTAGTTTCCAAATTCAAATAAGGATTATAATTTACGATGATTACCCCAACATTCCGTCTCGACCAGAACGAGACTCAGTTAATCATCATTGTAGAAGCACCCTATACAAATGTTAAAAATACAGAAATTCACGTCGAGGGTGACGATGTGCGCTTTTACTCGGCTCCATATTATCTTCGGTGAGTGATTTAACTGGAAATTTGGTTAATATTAATTACTTCTTATGCTGGTCTAATATTACACATATGGTTTTGTGCTAAATTCATTAGATTGGCATTGCCTGGGCATGTGGAGGAGACGGACAATAGCTCCGCCAAGTATAATTCGGACAAGTCGGAATTCGTGATTACTTTGGATAAGGTTACTCCAGGTCAACATTTTGATGGGTTGGATATGCTCGCGTCCCTGTTAGCACCAAAGGGCCAACCGAAAGCCAAGAGACCATTAATTGAAGTTATGGAAGGTTTGATTGTTCCATTGTCAATAAATATTAAACAATGCTTTTAGTTTTGTTATACTCGATGTTTATTGATTAACTAGAAGATAGCGATGTTCCACCATCCTGTTCCATGCAAGAATTTAGTGACGATGATTGGCATATTGACCAAGTGGTACAAGAACCAACGGGAGAGGAAGCGATGTGTTCACAACATGGCTATGGGTTCGCCAATTTACACAAGGGACTATTGAATAAATATCAGGTATTTTCGGATAATAATGTCCTTTTAATTGTTCAACATGAAGATATTCTAATTAACCTTATTACTTAACCTTATTATTAACCATTCGACAAGGTGGAGTTAGGTGAGGTTTGTGAAATCAAGAATCCAGACGCCGTACCACCTGCAAAAAGATGGGCTGAAAAATATGCTGAGGAACAAATAAAGTTTTCGGATGATCACTATCTTTCCGATCTCATGCTGGAAAATGACATCCCCAGGCTTCTTGAATTCCACTTCGACTCAGAATCCTTGAATACACTTACGCCTAAAAATGTTGACCAGATGAAAATATTGGGAAATCGTAAATTCATATTAGACAAGTCTGAACAAAAGGTATTGTTCTTTGGAATGATTGACATTATTTTTTCTTACTGCTATGACTGGAGAACAAGTGAGGGATCTCATACTATCGAATCCACTTGGAATATATCTCGAATAAGTGCAAGTTTATCGTGGTTTGTGGTAAGAGGAAAGACTTATTTGTAATTAATGAAATTACAAATAATGAGGAATTATATAGTACAGTAGTTTAATTTACTTTATTTCAGTCGTTTAATAGCATCCAAGATGTGATCGTTTCTTCACTACGCCGTTCTTTATCGTTCCCTTTGCATCGTAACTGGGATCTTTCCATGAAAGTCTTTCAGGACACGCTGCAAGTCCTTAAATCAGGTGAGAAAGGACGCTACCAAAATGTTTCTTCTTTCATTTGATGCTTTAAAGTGCTTGCAAAAGTTTAATTTTTATGTGCAGGACCCAAAGGGATTTTGGTGTGCCTACTGGATATCCAAAAACTGTTTAATGAAAGAGCCCCGTATTATCTGTTAAACGTACTTTTCATTGAAGAGTATTGTATATGGGTCCAGAAGATTACCCAAGAATCTCTGCATAGTCTTACAACCACCTTGGAACAAGTACGTTGTACATTATTCGGAAATATTTTAAATGTGGAATGATTTTCTTAATAACGTATTTCAGGAGTTACAAAAAGTTTCGAAGTCCCATGTAAATTTCGATTTGCCAGAACTGGAAATTGCAGCAAGACTTGTAGAAGAAGAAGAAATGGAAGACGACCTGTCTACAGTAATTCAGGGTATTCAAATTTAGTAATGACACATAGATTTATTTGTTTTATTTTAGTATTCAATATATTAATAACTCTGCAATTTTGAATCGACTATTATTTACGTGGTGCGTGAAGTTGTAATAGTAGAATGGCACATGATTAAAACTGATCGTGTTGGATATATGTAAATTGACATCTATGTGCCTTTTTTTAAAAAATTTGCTTATGTTTACCTACAGAATAATTAGGACTATTCATGTTAAATATATGATTTTATTTGTTAAGCGCTATCCACGTGTTTTTTATGTATGTTACAAATTAAACTCAAACCATGCAATTTAGTATTTTTATTCGGTTATAACTTGAAATAAAAAACAGTATGTCAATAAACTCCTCGTTCCATATTTTACAATTTTATTGACTCGCATTTGCGCACGCCAATCCAGTCACACCTCCTCAAAGAGGCAAAAAATACGTAAAAGCTACCATGTATTTCCTCATTATTAATTTCGCAAAAAAACAAATTTGTATCGGATTTTTACAATTTTTGCATTTTCTTAATCTAGACAGTAGATACATATTTAGTTATTGTGTCATGTCTGATGCCAAACTGAATTTTCAAAATAATTTTTTTAATGACACTGAAAATACTCGTAAAGTCAGAAAACTACGAGTATACAATATTGTTATCTGCTGGCCTGTTGTGTTGATTTTATCGTATCATAATTGCGGAAAGAACATTGTGGTACGATCGATTTCTTCACTATCGAGATGACTGTTATCAATTAAATATGCATGCTGATAAGATTGTCGTACTAACGACACACCTGAGAATGGGTGTATAAGTACTATTTATTGACGTGTGTGAAAGCTCTACCAACTTTTGCTAGATCGTTAGTTAGTACACATAAAAAGTAGTTGCAATTTACGACAAAGCTAGAATGTTATAAAAAGAAGGGAAAAATTTGTCAATCCATTGAATTACATACCAATGCAAATCCTATATACATAAGAATTTCACTCCTGTAAAGTTGTCATGCACAGTATTTAAATGGGTTTACCTTCAAGTCATTCAACAATAATGTGACAATTTTGCAACAATAATCAGACCAGATTGTACTGATCGAAATATAAATTCTCCTAGATCGAAATAGTTCTACAAGTTCGAGTTGTTTAAATTGAGAACGATTGGTTCGAGCACGAAACTTATTAATTACAGAAAGACCTCGGAGTACTTATAACTGCTGAAAGCAAAATGAGAAATGATGGAACAATACAAATTTGGGAAGAGGATGGACTTTCGCCATAAATTTTCGCACTTTACTACCAAATTTGTACATATCGTGAATACATAGTGCTGTTATACATATCTATGCAGATTAACCTGTGTCTTGCAAACTATAATTAAACTACTAAACGATGCATGTACAACAAGTAGTCAAAAGTGAGGGTATGCAAATGTCTAACGGCGTCCCTGACACCATTGTTGATAACCCCCGAATATCGGAAGGGTTTGTGGCATCTTTTGCATTTCTAGTGATTCTAATTACAGTCACAACAATTTGTCTGAGCTTCATTAAATCCTCGTTCGACTATTTCACTGGCAGAAGGTCAGTAAATCGCACGGTACAGTGCACACGAATTAGCGTTATTTCAGAATCAGGGTCCAGTAAACCGTCTATGAACTTGTAAGTTTCAAAATTTCCAAATATTTATAACTGATTATTATGCATAACCAGCAAGAAATGCAGCTGTCACTGCGATGCTGAAATTCTATTGTTTCATATTTGATTTTGGTCAGCAGTCGATTTTTATCTTTCAACGAATTTCGAGAATACTACAAAGATCTCGTGTCTGATTCATAGTGAGTAATCCTTAGCACAAATGTGTATGCATTAATACTTAAACATAATTCTGACCACTCCTCAGTTATAAACTCTCTCTGGAGTTTGAAAGTCTAAAAGTTCATGGAGATGAAATGATACCATGCACTGAAGGAGATCGGGGAAAAAATCATTCCAAAAATCGGTTCGTTAACATCCTGCCATTTGACAATACTCGAGTACTTCTCAGCACTTTGGAAGGAGTTCCTTTCAGTGATTATATCAACGCCAACTACGTGTCGGTATATAAGAAGTCAAGTTAAACATAATATTATTATACTCCGCGTTATGATTTACTTTCCATGCATTCTCATTCAATATTTCGCTTAAGTTCATGAGAAAACCTTGTCAATTTCTACAGGGTTATTACTCTAGTGATGTCAAAAAAGAAGGGCCTAAGCACGAGTACATTGCAACTCAAGGGGTAATAAAACGCATGCTTTAGTTGCCATAAATTTCCCATATATTCATTAATTAACAATGTTTCTTTACTATAATAACACAGCCGTTAAAAAACACGATAGACGACTTCTGGCGATTATGTTGGGAATCAAAGTCAAAATGCATCGTCATGTTGACACGCTTAGTCGACCGAGGTTTGTCGTCAGCCGTTGAAAATTAAAATGCGTTCAACATGAATCACCAAAACCCTTGTGCAGATCGGGAAAAATGCGCCCACTACTGGCCAACCAGCTCGAGTCCGGTAATGTATGGCGAAATTGAGGTCGAAGTACTGTCAGAATCTCCGGAAAGCTATTCTGTTCATAAATGGATCGTAATGGAGTTCAAGCTTCGTCACAAGGTGAATAGAATAAGCATTAAACGTGAAGCTTTTTAAATAAAAACCGTATTTTTCTTCAGGAACAAGAACGATGCGTGCGGCACTATCAGTTCCAAACTTGGCCTGACTTTGAGTCCGTCGAGCCACCCGAGGCACTTGTCTACTTCGTTCGAGAAGTGCGAACATATGCTCCTTATCCAACTCTGGGAAAACCGTTTGCGCCGATAATTATCCATTGCAGTGCTGGCGTGGGTCGCACCGGGACCTTCATTGGGGTTGACATTGCAATGAATCAAATCAAGATGAACAAAGCCATTAACATACCAAGCATCGTGAGCAAAATGCGGAAAGAAAGGGTGGGTCGTTAATTTTGTATATAATTAAAAAACGGATGATAGATTTAATTTGATGGAAATCATGATAATTATATTTCAAACTTTTTCCAAGGTTTGGATGGTTCAAACTGAGCAACAGTATATTTGCATCTACAAATGTGCCATTGCTATACTTGATGAAATCGAGACTGTAGAAGATGCAGATATCTAACTATGCCGTGGTCCACAAAGTTGTTGCGACAGGAAAACCTAGTTGAAATTTTCAAATAATTCAGATTAAAAAGGTTAATTGTCCACTGAGTACATTGCACATCCACCTCAGGTTTATGAAATAAAAATCCATTTCTCCTCAATCTGAATCCCATCAATTATCTAGCATTACACATATTTACTCGAAGTGGTTGGACAATTATCCTAGAAGGTAAAATAGGTGTTAAATATTAATTAGTTGAAATTTGAGTGTAAGGCAAGCAAGTTATTTTTAGAATATTTATTATACTCAAGCTTTCGGGACAACAGTTGACCCTTCATCAAGAGAATAAATTTCAATATTAAGCTATTATTGTTGTTATTCACTGTCTTCCGACTAATCTGACAATGACAGATTAAGAGAAACTTAAACCTCAGAACTTGACCTGTTCCTAGTGCTCATTTGAATAGTCTCAGTTTCATTGATTAACGACCTATGAATGAACATTGAATGAAAATGCAAGGAAATGATGCATGCCATTACTCTTTTTTTGGCACACATACTTATGTCGAAAGAAATATTCATCCTGCCAATGATCCACATATCGTAACCTATCAGAATACTATCGCTTTTATTTCAGAGTACAAAATTATTATTTTCATTACTGATTTAAATTGTTAAATAATTAGATTCCTCGGCATCGAATATCGGTTGAAGGGCAGATCGGAGGGCATCGAGGGTCGATTTGTCCTAAGAAATCATACATTCATTTAGCGTCAAGTCAATACATGTAAGTAATCATTGCTATATGTCAAAATAAATACCAGGATAGCAAAGAGGCTTTTTGCTTGTTGCTTCAGTCAATTGAGGTTCCTCGTGTAAGGAACATCTTGAATCAGTACTCCCTGAAAAAATATGTCAAATAATATATGTACACCCGACATCAAACAATGCAAACAAGATCAAACCAACCTGGAAAGCATATTGGCCTCCTCGTAGTTTCCACAAGGGCTACGGAGCTTGTGACACATCTCGGATCTTTGAAAGAGCCATTATTATCACAATCAGGAGGACATCTGGGGTCAACGGTACCAGGATAGCAGTTTACTGGTTTTGTTGTGGTGGCGTAAGTTGGTCTTGTCGTTGGATATGTCCTCTGGGTTAGTGCAGGTGTAGGGCGAGTAGTTGGCTGCGCGCAGCGGGGATCTTTAAATGCTCCATTATTATCGCAATCTGGTGGGCACCTTGGATCCACTGCTCCTGGATAACAATTTACGGGTTTCGAAGTAGTTGCATAAGTTGGTCGAGCAGTTGGTTGTGCGCAACGGGGATCTTTAAAAGTACCATTGCCCTCGCAATCTGGTGGACATCTGGGATCCACTGCTCCTGGATAACAATTTACGGGTTTTGGAGTAGTTTCATAAGTTGGTCGAGTAGTTGGGTACGTTCTCTGAGTAGTTGGATACGTTCTTTGAGTTGGTGCAGCTGTTGGCCGAGTAGTTGGTTGTGCACAGCGGGGATCTTTAAATGCACCGTTGTTATTGCAATCTGGTGGACATCTTGGATCGACAGCTCCTGGATAGCAATTTACGGGCTTTGAAGTAGTGGCATAAGTTGGTCGAGTAGTTGGGTATGTTCTCTGAGTAGTTGGATACGTTCTCTGAGTTGGTGGAATTGTTGGTCGAGTAGTTGGTTGTGCACAACGGGGATCTTTAAATGCACCGTTCCCTTCGCAATCTGGAGGACATCTTGGATCCACTGCTCCCGGATAACAATTTACGGGCTTTGAAGTAGTTGCATAAGTTGGTCGAGGAGTTGGGTACGTTCTCTGAGTTGGTGGAATTGTTGGTCGAGTAGTTGGTTGTTCACAACGGGGATCTTTAAATGCACCGTTCCCTTCGCAATCTGGAGGACATCTTGGATCCACTGCTCCCGGATAACAATTTACCGGCTTTGGTGTAGTTGCATAAGTTGGTCGAGTAGTTGGGAATGTTCTTTGAGTAGTTGCATAAGTTGGTCGAGTAGTTGGGTATGTTCTCTGAGTAGTTGCATAAGTTGGTCGAGTGGTTGGGTGCGTTCTCTGAGTAGTTGCATAAGTTGGTCGAGTAGTTGGGTACGTTCTCTGAGTAGTTGCATAAGTTGGTCGAGTAGTTGGATACGTTCTTTGAGTTGGTGCAACTGTTGGCCGAGTAGTTGGTTGTGCGCAACGGGGATCTTTAAACGCACCGTTATTATCGCAATCTGGAGGACATCTGGGATCGACAGCTCCTGGATAGCAATTTACCGGCTTTGAAGTAGTTGCATAAGTTGGTCGAGTAGTTGGAAATGTTCTTTGTGTAGTTGCATAAGTTGGTCGAGTAGTTGGGTACGTTCTCTGAGTAGTTGCATAAGTTGGTCGAGTAGTTGGATACGTTCTTTGAGTTGGTGCAGCTGTAGGTCGAGTAGTTGGTTGTGCGCACCGAGGATCTTTAAACGCACCGTTGTTATTGCAATCTGGAGGACATCTGGGATCCACTGCTCCTGGATAACAATTCACCGGCTTTGGAGTAGTTGCATAAGTTGGTCGAGTAGTTGGGTACGTTCTTTCAGTTGGTGCAATTGTTGGCGGAGTAGTTGGTTGTGCACAGCGGGGATCTTTAAACGCACCACTGCCCTCGCAATCTGGAGGACATCTAGGATCGATAGCTCCTGGATAACAATTTATAGGCTTTGAAGTAGTTGCATAAGTTGGTCGAGTAGTTGGGAACGTTCTTTGAGTAGTTGCATAAGTTGGACGAGTAGTTGGGAACGTTCTTTGAGTAGTTGCATAAGTTGGTCGAGTAGTTGGGTACGTTCTCTGAGTAGTTGGATACGTTCTTTGAGTTGGTGCAACTGTTGGCCGAGCAGTTGGTTGTGCGCAACGGGGATCTTTAAATGCACCGTCGTCATTGCAATCTGGTGGACATCTTGGATCGACAGCTCCTGGATAACAATTTACGGGCTTTGAAGTAGTTGCATAGGTTGGTCGAGTAGTTGGATACGTTCTCTGAGTAGTTGCATAAGTTGGTCGAGTAGTTGGGTACGTTCTTTGAGTTGGTGCAATTGTTGGCGGAGTAGTTGGTTGTGCACAGCGGGGATCTTTAAACGCACCATTGCCCTCGCAATCTGGAGGACATCTAGGATCGATAGCTCCTGGATAACAATTTATAGGCTTAGAAGTAGTTGCATAAGTTGGTCGAGTAGTTGGATACGTTCTCTGAGTAGTTGCATAAGTTGGTCGAGTAGTTGGGTACGTTCTTTGAGTTGGTGCAATTGTTGGCCGAGTAGTTGGTTGTGCACAGCGGGGATCTTTAAACGCACCATTGCCCTCGCAATCTGGAGGACATCTAGGATCGACAGCTCCTGGATAACAATTTACGGGTTTTGGAGTAGTTGCATAAGTTTGTCGAGTAGTTGGGTACGTTCTTTGAGTTGGTGCAATTGTTGGTCGAGTAGTTGGTTGTGCGCACCGAGGATCTTTAAACGCACCGTTGTTATTGCAATCTGGAGGACATCTGGGATCCACTGCTCCTGGATAACAATTCACCGGCTTTGGAGTAGTTGCATAAGTTGGTCGAGTAGTTGGGTACGTTCTCTGAGTAGTTGGATACGTTCTCTGAGTTGGTGGAATTGTTGGCCGAGTAGTAGGTTGTGCGCAACGGGGATCTTTAAATGCACCGTCGTCATTGCAAGCTGGTGGACATCTTGGATCGACAGCTCCTGGATAACAATTTACGGGCTTTGAAGTAGTTGCATAGGTTGGTCGAGTAGTTGGATACGTTCTCTGAGTTGGTGCAATTGTTGGCCGAGTAGTTGGTTGTGCACAGCGGGGATCTTTAAACGCACCATTGCCCTCGCAATCTGGAGGACATCTAGGATCGACAGCTCCTGGATAACAATTTACGGGCTTTGAAGTAGTTGCATAGGTTTGTCGAGTAGTTGGGTACGTTCTTTGAGTTGGTGCAATTGTTGGTCGAGTAGTTGGTTGTGCGCACCGAGGATCTTTAAACGCACCGTTGTTATTGCAATCTGGAGGACATCTGGGATCCACTGCTCCTGGATAACAATTCACCGGCTTTGGAGTAGTTGCATAAGTTGGTCGAGTAGTTGGGTACGTTCTCTGAGTAGTTGGATACGTTCTCTGAGTTGGTGGAATTGTTGGTCGAGTAGTTGGTTGTGCACAACGGGGATCTTTAAATGCACCGTTTCCTTCGCAATCTGGAGGACATCTTGGATCCACTGCTCCCGGATAACAATTTACCGGCTTTGGTGTAGTTGCATAAGTTGGTCGAGGAGTTGGGTACGTTCTCTGAGTTGGTGGAATTGTTGGTCGAGTAGTTGGTTGTGCGCAGCGGGGATCTTTAAATGCCCCGTTCCCTTCGCAATCTGGAGGACATCTTGGATCCACTGCTCCCGGATAACAATTTACCGGCTTTGGTGTAGTTGCATAAGTTGGTCGAGTAGTTGGGAATGTTCTTTGAGTAGTTGCATAAGTTGGTCGAGTAGTTGGGTACGTTCTCTGAGTAGTTTCATAAGTTGGTCGAGTAGTTGGATACGTTCTTTGAGTTGGTGGAATTGTTGGGCGAGTAGTTGGTTGTGCGCACCGAGGATCTTTAAACGCACCATTGCCTTCGCAATCTGGAGGACATCTGGGATCCACTGCTCCCGGATAACAATTTACCGGCTTTGGTGTAGTTGCATAAGTTGGTCGAGTAGTTGGGTACGTTCTCTGAGTTGGTGGAATTGTTGGTCGAGTAGTTGGTTGTGCGCAGCGGGGATCTTTAAATGCACCGTTTCCTGCACAATCAGGTGGACATCTGGGATGGACAGCACCTGGATAACACAAATTTGCTGTTTCCCCTGTTACGGTTGGCCTCTGGGTTATCTCGAGTTCAATTTCGTGTTCGGTATGACATCTTGCATCAGTTGAACCTGTATCGTGTACATGATCACATTTGATTAGCACCTTGTAATTTAATATTTACATTGGGCCTCCTCAGACACACGAAAATATCGTCGCTTAAAATTTCGCTTCGTTTTTCGCTTACTTCCTGATAAGCGAGCTCTGGGGTAAGCGAACAGAAACTCAACTTATAAGTGGGGTTAAGGTCGGTTAGCTGAAGTCGCAACAAAATTTTGCAATTTTCATAATTTTGGCCATGCTATCGATAAGCGAAAAACAAAGCGAAATTCGAAGCGACGATTTTTTCGTGTGTCTGAGGAGGCCCATTATTACGTTGAACCTTTGTAACAAATTGGCCTTCGTGTTGTTTCGGGTAATGCATTCGCTGTCGGTCGAACGCAGCGAGGGTCCGCCGAGTTCTGAGTACATCGGAAAGGTGGGGAAGTTTGCTGTGGAGTTTTAGGTTTTGCCTGACTGCACCGAGCGTCCCTTGACCCCTCATAACAGTCTGGCTCATTGGGCCTGTTCACGAAGGGACGATGGGTGGTTGTTGGTGGTCTGTTTTGTGGAACATAAGGTGCCCGAGTTGCTGCGAGTACTTTTTGCGTAGGCAACGGACGTTGTGGGGCCGGTGCAACGGAACCACAAGTGTCATCGCAAACATCCTTGCAAAGCTTGAAGTTCAAAATCATTAAAAACAGTTACAACTTTGTCTGTTATGGGAAGGAAATGCATGGGTTGAATACCTCTATGTTACATGTCAGATAGATGTTATCTGAATCTGGGAATTTAAATGCTGTCATATTTGTGAATGCTATCGTTGTGGCGCCTGTGTCTCCGGTTTCGAAAGTTTTCATCCATCTTCCAATCAGTTTGGTTTTCCTGTTCAGTTGCATGGTTTGAGTCATGACGTAATTATATGAACTTAAATTATATGCATTGTGGGGAATTTAACCTTGGACATCCGTCATATCCTGTTAGTTGAACTTTTGAAGTCCTAGCGTCATCGAAGCGTTCCGAGTCATATGCCCAACAATCTTTTACGCTGGCATCATATTGGCGTTCTTGTGTAAGGTCAGTTTATGTTAATTGTTGCCGGTAATGAGATTTGCATAGAAAATTACTACCTGCATCTTTGAGATAGATGATTACACTGAGTTCCTCGCCAATTTCAATTTGTCCTCCAATTGGTTCAGTCTACAGCTTTACATGGTTGAAAGGTAGGTAATAGATTTACATGTGTGAGCAACTTACATGGGGATAAGTTCCCTTTTGAATGTCCATCCAGCAGTCTAAGCTCCCTTTGTCACCATTGCTTATCGGCTCGTGCTGAACGTTGAGCATTCCCACGGACAAAGGCTTAAAAATGACCATTTTCCCCGTCTTTGGAGACTCGGCAGCATTGTTTGCTCCGCCGTATTTGCATGATATCTTTTTCGCCACATCCCATATTTCCTATGTTGACAAGGTTAACCGTTAAAAGTATTGTACAAGTAAGGCTAATCTGTTTTTCATATCCTGAAAATTATTGCTGCTCATTTATTAATAATACCTGCACTGTTTCGTCCATTTGGAATATGAGAACATTGCTTATGGTTTGACCAAATTCATCCAAATTTGTTCCGCATCTTCCAGCAGGAATATCAAAATTGTATTTCGCAGCCCCGGTTCGTACTTCCACAAACCTAATTATGAAATTGGTATATATATTTTATTGAACTAGATGTAGGACATTGGGAAAATATGTATGTCTCGTTTACGGCACCTGCACTTGGGGTCAGAGAAGTAGCCTTTGCTGTAAATGACTCCATCAAACGGCCCATCGAATTCAACGGAAACAGTTAAACCAGACTTTGTACATTGCACATTAAGCTCTTGAATTTTGGTGTGATGATGTTCATCGTGCGCCTCATGGCCTTCAATTTGCCGACCAATCCTCTCAATTTCGCGAAATGGATTTATGCTGTCATAATCATACAAATCTTCAGGAGCAACGAGTTGCAAATTGATCTGCATAATAGAAATATGGACTTAGATATTTGGTGTATTTATAAATATATTATAGATGATATATTTGAAATGCAATTCTGATACCGTCAAAAGCCCAATGAAGAGCTTCAAAATTGGTGTCATAATTCTATAATTGTTTAGACATGGAGATATTGCTGACAAGCCAATCTGAAAATTGGGAGAAAATACTTATACATAATAATCGATAAGCAAAATTATGAAAAACATGTTGCAAGTTTGTCTGCAAGCTTATCGTTATATATTTAGTACTATATATGTATGCGATAATTGAAATTGAAATTTGCTTGAAATCTATAAGAAACAAATCTAAATGTATTTTCACCAAAATTATCTTTGCAAAATCCAGAATGAAATTTTACAAACTGAGAAATTAAGTTCAATTATTACAAAAGCATTATACACATAAAAGTATTATTTTTTGTATGAACGCTAAACCTATTTTGTGTGGGACCAGAAAATGCTTGCGATTTTTCCATGCATTTATTTCAACTCTTTTTCTAAATCCATGCTTAAATTTAAGAATTTATGCTTAAACCTAAAGTTGGTTCCTTCTCCGTTTCCATCGATCAGATTTATGTACATATATTTTAAAATTTATGCAGATTACATAATGAGACCTGTTACAGTACGTTGCGCTACGTTATGCATAACTATGTGAGAAGCTGTACCCCTAGTAGCAGCTTTCTTCAATTTGTGTCCTAATTTATGCAGCCGGTTACCACACAATGACAACGATATTTTACTCCTTACTGTATTTCTTGCGAGTTATATAATTATTTGGTGCGACAAACCAATAGAATTTAATTTATTAAACCTTATCAATTTTGCATGTACAGCACTTTTTGGTTTAATTGAATGAAAAAAAATACTGCCATTTGATGTAGCTAAAAAAATAAGTTAATAATTTTACGCATGCACTAAACTGCATGGTTAAAAAGGATTTACAAAATGCTTTTATACAAATTTCACGATTCATATTCATGGAAATTGTTATATAATGCAGTGTCTTTATCCTAATCTGATTTATACAAAGGAATGCTCCGACTTATGCATGGAATGCTCCACTCATATTTTGCATAACATTTAAAAATTACTACCTGCAATTCGATCCTTTAAAATATACAATTTTCACAAGCCTTATTGCACACTTGTTTTCACAAACTTGAGAATATATATCCGAATTATCGGATAATCTGACTAAATTCACAAACAATTTACAAACGTTGATCCAAATTGATGTTTTTGCCTCCAATTCCAGCTTATGAAACTTATCAATCCACACAGCGGCGACTGAACCAAGTGAAACTGAGTCTTCCAAATATATATTTTCAATCACGGACACTTAACTCAACCTTTGACTTGTTGACTTCAAGACTGAGAGATGCACACTAATTTGTACTGAAAGTGACCACTTGCTATGAATGTGCATCCCAACAGTGATGGATATTTATATTATATTGTTTAAATTAAGAGACCGGCCAAATCCATGCATGATGCTAAAAAAGAAAGAACAACAGGTCAACTGCTATAAGTGACCACTGTTGCAAACCTGCAATAACATTGCTTAGACTCCTTGTCATTGTGTCATTACAAGCAGTAGGATTTTCAGCATATGTAAAAGATGCACAATTAATAGTAACGTCAAAGTCATAAATTCGATGGATAGGATTTAACGCCAAGTCTCCCCTTCTCCACATAAATATACGTCGATGATGACTTCAAGTGTACAATCCAACGTTGCTGGCGATTAACCAACACTCGTCATAACACCTCATCTCATTTGCCTCGTGATGAGTAAACTATTTAGAAGATGGGCATGCAGACTCAAGATGACGAGAAATACATATTTATTTACATGCTGCAGCACATATTTGTACCAGCATGCCGAGTTACAAAGAAAAGATTGCATGCATCTCATGAAGTGCATTATCTGCATCGATTTGTTTTGCTTAATCTTTCTGTTTCTTGCCCTGCATGCTCATCTCGGACATCTTCAACTCATTGACACAAAATTCACAATGTAAATTTTCATACACACTTTTGCTTCATTCTTTGCTAATCTCAAAGTGCTAAATCAGGTGAAGGTGTACCGGTGTGCATAACTATTCGTATGTACTTGTGGCTTGCTCATCTTCATCATCAGCTCTAGTAATTAACACTCAAATTAAATTTTTAGTTTGTTCCCTTAGCCCTTCAACTGGTTGAAAGGCATGTTTGTAATAATTGTTGATTGCGTTGGATGGTTAAATGAAAATCAGACTTATGAAAATTTATTTTGTTGTCGTATTGTTTTAATAGTAAATCCAGATTTACTTTTTTATTTAACTGTTAGAATTGCATAACCAGGCTTTTACGGATGTTCAACAAGAAATTGTGAAATGAGAACTGTAACCTCACATTCTTTACTAACCTCACATTCTTTACTGGACAATGCTAATGCATTTTTATGGTATAATTAGTGTACAATGGGAAATTTAATTGAGGAATTTGTGATTATACTGATTACGTGTAGTTATTTTTGTCATTGGTTCAAAAAACATGTACATATTTATTTTTATCCGATATTGTTTTTGACAAGGCGATCAACTAGCCATTTTCTTAGCAATTGACACGTAGATATAATCGATTTGAGGTAACAATAATTAACTATTGATCATTATTATAATGATGCATCATTTGCCAGAGTGGACAAGGTGGTCCATCAATAATTGCTTTAATGAGATATCTGTCGAATTCTTACACTGTCACATTAAAAGAAAATAATTTGAATACCAGAATCTTTATTCTAGATAACGCTGGTTTTTATAGATGTAAAAAAAATATAAACAAATACTTGAGTGCTTATCTTGTAACATTTTTAAGGATTTTATTATGACTAGGTAGGCATCAATTACGAATGTGTATGTATACGCACAGTGTGAAACTAAAGTGACCTTATGGTTAATTTATTTTGTAACTTTGTTGTAATTGACGACATATGTAACGCAGTGTCGCTTTCTTCAAAGAAATATTGCTAGTTTACTTTTAGAATTTAGTAAAATTTAATACGTCGACATGCAATCTTAGAAAGGACGTGGTCGAAATTAGCACAAATATAGCGTATCGATAGTTGACAGGTCCATATAAAAAGATCATAAAAAGCTGTTGCATTTGCATTTTTTTAATAGAATATTATAATTAAATTTATATAACCACAATACATAGCGAGAGTTTGATTAAGGATAAGATGGAAATATGATTCAAATGTAAAAATAAATATTTGTAAATAAACAATTTTAAGCAAGTTACATAAATTTGAATTATTAAAGTCAACGATATTTTTAATTCGTGTTGCTTTGTTTTCATATTGAATGAAACACTTCAATTTTGTACCACGTTAGTTATAAAATGATGAAACTGCCACGACGCAGGTAAAATAATATATAATCCAGTTGCATTATCTACCTTCACTTCTTTGGATGGTTGGTACATAAATACTTGAATTTCGATGGTAAATTTTATGGGTACGAATTAGTATGAATCTTCATGTCGGTAGAGTACATTTTATTTTAAACCTTTTATTACCATTTGTTTACAATAAATTAAAGAACGGTACACACGCATGAAAACGTACATGTTTAGTAATTGCATTTTAAAATCCTGATGACATCTACTGGCTCACGGTAGCGGGCCAGTGTTCATGCGAGTAATCGGTTATGTCAACATGCGACATTGGATTCTAAAATTACTTTAATTAATTGTCCCATCAAACCAGATGGGTACCACGGGCGTGAGGTGTCATTTCTGCATTCTGCCCACTGAAGAGTGATACATCGTCCCTAATACCTTTTTCATGTGTGTGTGTACAAATATTATGTCATCGTGTAACACCAAAGCGAGTGTGTCGTGTTAACGAGAAGACAATACGACAGAGAATGAAACTCGTTGCTTTGTGTCATGATTAGCGACTTAAAAGGACGAATTTTTATATCTGTTAAATACTTTTGAAGTATTACTCATTCACAGCGATAACTGGGTTAAGAGAGTCGGAGTCATTTGCGAACGTTTATTTTGTAACCTTGTAATAATCCCACATAGATTTGTTTGTTCGTGCAGATGAAAAATGTTGAAGAAATTTACAATCATTTTTAATCCAATTTTGTGTGTTGGTCCTAAAATGACGTTTATTCTTAATTGATATTTTATTGATGGTGTGTAATAAATATGAAACGAATATGCATATGTAGCTTTTCAATAAGGCTTAAGAAGTTGGACGTAATTAATTATCAAATCATCAACAAAAATATACATCAATCCAATGAGGTTAACATGAAATGAGAGGATTGATTAACCGACGGACATATTCATACGTCTAATGTGAAGATTAATATATTCGACGAGGTGGCGTCGTTCTGCTATTCATAGACTAATCTTAGTTTATTAGGTCGGAAACATCATCAAGTTAGACATGCGTGTTTGTTGTGTTGGTCTCAGAATGTTACGAAATTTTACATGGATTTCATTCAGTCAAAATTGAAAGTTAATCTGTGTAGCATGGTATTGTTGTGTTGTAACACGGCGAGCACCGTGTGTGTGTGGGCTTGCTAAAAAACTCTTGAAGAAAGTACTGCATGTAAGAAATGAGTGTCCATATAATTTCGAATGTGAATATTTACGGGGTAAAAAACTGAAAACAAATTTAGCATCTTTCTTCACTTGCTCCAAGATGTAAACTCACGTACATGTCAAATTTGTTTTAGCACAATAAAACAAACTGCCAACAATAAACCTTTCGACCATTGCACGTATCCTAATTGATATACCGTTTGAATGAAGAGTTTCTCATTAATGTTTAATTTTTTAGCTAGTAGTGGGATCCTCACGTCTGTACTGAAAGGTATAAAGATGAAGATTACACTGGTACCAAGGAAGTAGTAAACCTTACATAACACATTTTTTTAATAAATCACAAAGGATGGTAGAAAATCTCAATGCGTGATTGCTCAGTTTTCAATTATGTGGTTAAGTAGGATACAATTGAACAGCAGTTAAAATTAACTCATAAACAATAATTTTCATCAAACTTTACAGACAGATAGGGAAATGTGACACCTAAAAATGCCTTTGTATTTGTGTGCTATACTGGTGAAGACTTTTGTCAGCATTTCACTTAAAACTGGTTCAATAAGGAGTATTGAAATTGCACAACATGTCATAAAAACGAGTCAGTCCTCAAAATTTATAGTTTGGTCAAGTGAATAATGTGCAATTGAGAAACAAAGAAGTTGTCTAAAGTACTCTGGTACTTGTTCGTCGTGATGCGAGATATAATCTCTTATAACTTTATTAACCTTCACCTTCACTTTTGTCACAGTCATAACATATTTGGTATTCCTTCTTTCTGCACATAAAAGAAATTACGCAACAAAGATATTTCAAGATTTGCATACTTTTATTAAAAATTAAAATGAAGCCAATCATTAGAGAAGAAGAAGAAGCTAGATTAGTACATACATATGTATTTGAGTAATTTAAGGTGAAATGGACAAGGTTAATAGACATTTGTATTCCTTGATTTGTTTACAATAGATACTGCTACCCACGGAATCAGACGTAATAGTGAGGCTACATACTTACAAGTACTTGGTGTAATTCTTTCTGATTTACATATCACCTTAATTAGACAAATGAACAAGCTTGATAAAACTGACTAAATCAACGATTTTGTCGCAATTTAGTAATGGCTAATTTTTAATTGAGGTACATAGTAAGTTATATAATATGTATGAAATAAATGTAGGTATATTAAACGTTTATTAGATTTCTCAATTTCCCCAAAACACTTGTCCCATGATTATGCTGATAATATTGATGTTTTAACCATGGTCCTAATTAATTAAGTGTTTTCTATATTTTCCCAAATTATTTTGACATGGTACAATTAGATAAATGCGTGGGCAGGCAGAGTACTTAATTAAGGCTATAAATGCACCCCCGTGGTTTTATTTATGAATGGTTTGTTATATTTTTATGTAATTGAAATAATTGGATGAGGTGGGTGCAGTAAACCAAAATGCATTTCCAAACTGCAAATATACCTAAATATGAGAATATTATCATGGTTTTCTGGATTCAGAGAATATGAATAGTCACACAATCAATAAATACTCATCCAATCCAATTAATATTTGTCTCTCGTACTGCGGAGAATTCTGAGTGGCATGACCAAAATCACACAAAAAGAGAATGAAATTCCTGAATGGAGCAGTGTTCCTCTCTAGTAAAACAGTTTAATGCTTGCGGCTGAGCCAATGTCCTGCTTCATATCGACGTAGACGGTGTCCAAGAACAATGAGCTGGTGTCCATCTTGACAGTAACGGTGGTCGTGGTCGTAGTAGTTGTTACACCACCTT